GAGGAACGACGGGAACGTGAGGAACGACGGGAACGTGAGGAACGACGGGAACGTGAGGAACGACGGGAACGTGAGGAACGACGGGAACGTGAGGATCACGTCGTCAGAGATTCATATGTGGCGAGAGCTGGGACATCGCTCACTGAAAGCTGAAGAACCCGGGCGACGGAGAGATTGACCGGGTCCTGGAAACGAGAGGAGATGTCGAGAAATCAAGAGAACTGGGCTAATTGACGCGCCAAGTTTCGCAAGACGAATGTTGCCATGAGCCAGACGTGGTGGCCGCGCGCGACGAAGCGTCACTCCCGTGAGAATGCGCCGTGGACGTCGAACCGCCGATACATATATTCCTTCCACGGACACGCAGCGGGGCGGGAGCAGCCGGCTGCTGGCGTCTGCTTCGTGGCGGCGCAGGGGTTGCTGCAGAGCCCAGCCGCTGTAACGCGAACGTGCATCATCACCAGGGCTGTTGTCCAATGAGTATCGCAGGCACCTTGACCGGAAGGATGACACCGCCCCATTCTCTCTGCAGTTGGCCCCTGCGAGACTCGAAGATCCCTGGGTAGAACCAGCCGTTGCGCGCGTTCACCTTGCGACACAGCCATCCTTCCAAAGTAGCTGTTCCGGCCCTGGTTTGACCGTCAAGGATAGCGAGAGCAGTTAGTAAGGGTCGCGCTGCCGCCCGAATCCTGATAGGATCAGGCCCTGGTAAGCTCAACAGGAGCCCGCACGTTGGAGCGGATGTGCTTTTGGTCCGAAATAGAGATCGTATCAGATATCCGGCGAGCTTTGCTGGCCCGCAGCTGATGTTTGTTGGTGACAAGTTCTTTCGTCCGTTTTCGTTTGCGTCGGGGGTGCCCGTTTTCCATCGATGGGATTCGGGAAGGCAGCTGCTGGTGGCGCCTTCCGCGCCAAAGTAGAAAGGAGCATCCCGCCCTGTTGCACCCTGCACGCCGTACGTAGCTACGTACCCCACGAAACACTGCGATAAATGAAGAGGGCATCAGCCACCAAACCGTGTAAGTGAGGCTAGCCACGACATGTGTGCATTCGCAGAGGAAGAGTGGTTCTCAGGCAGGTGTGCCGTTTCCAGCGACAGGGTCGCTAATCTAGCCCGCCACGATCCGCGGGTGCTGGCCATGGTGCTGCGGCTGCTCAGGCAAGCCGTCCACGACAGTCGAGCCACGTCCTGGCGACCATCACGAGACTGCCCTCTCCCATCAATATATACTGAGAAGCAAGTGCCAATATGCTCGATCGTGGACTAATTAACTATGCTAGATAGAAACATCACTCCAGTGCATCTCGCTGCCCTCGTTGTCCTCCAAACAATTGGGTGCGAATTGCCGTTTGGACTCTAATCGCAACAACATAGTCTATTGTTCTGATGAGCCCTATCCCTTAACTGTTCTACATCACCATCTCTCCACCTTTCTGCCCCTTACCCGCTCATCTCCTCTCCGCACACTCTCTTGCAGCGTCTCATCGTCGCCGCATCCCTTTCCGAATAGCCTCGAACTCATCTTGTATATTACTGCATAGTGTGCGATGCTCGTTTTATTTAGCAATGTGGCTTTGACGCCAGGATGGCGAGTCCCCGGGGCGTGGACCAAGCCTTGATTGGAGAGCCTGGAGTGATCCCTTGAACGCGCGACGCTTCCCATCCAGGCACTCGGTATGCCACCAGCCCTGCCACCGCTTGGAACAAGCCTCTTGCATCCGTAGACGCTTACCCACTAATTAGCTTTGTGATCGCGCAGAAGACTTGAGCCTCTTGGTCGATCGACCGGCGACATGGATTCGACACCCTGGGCGCAAGCCAAGACCCGGCTCTGTCTCCGGAGGAGGAGACGATGGGAAAGTTTATCCAGCAAATCCAAGGGGACGTGCTATTTTGACATCAGGAGCCAAGTCATCTTAAAGCGGCGGCGGCGTGCCGAGCCGTACAAGCAGCTGAACCCAGCCGCCCGGCTGCAGAATTGAAGGCATCGCAGGCAATTGAAGGCATCGCGGGCACCGCGGGCTGCTGGGGTATACGGGCTACGCGGCATGCCGCATTTGCCTCTTTCGGCGGGCTTAGCACCTATTTTGGTTTGGTGTCTAAGTAGAAAACAGGCGATGTCCAAATAGTACGTCTCAATCCAAGACGACGCAGCAAAGTCCACTCCAGTTTGGAAGCCAGAGATCACAAGCCTCAGAGCCATCTCCGACCAGGATGGCCGCGTTGTCTTGCACCAGACAGCACCGACGGACAGTCGCAATATGTTGGCGCGAAGTCTTTGCTCTGCCGCGGGGTCAGAGTTTCTTGACTTCTGAGAATGGACTTCCGCGGATCAATCACTGGCGGTTAGGTCATATTCCAACAAGGTCTTTCGGCGCGGATGTGCCATGTGAGAAGGCGAGCGCTGGATGGAAGGAGGACGTGCCTTTCGCAAGCCCAAAACCTTGAAAGCCCTCGAGACACGGAAGCCTGGAACTGATCAGGCCGGCGAGTCAAGCCTTGGTATACCGATTCCCCGAAGGCTTCTTTGTTTGGCCTCAGCGCCTACCATATTGCTGCCCCTGTCTTCACATCCCCCTCCCCCAAGCCAGGACTCGGAACAATGCTCATTTCGGAACCGACGATTACCAAGGGTATTCCTTCCCGGGGCGGAACCTGGCCACGGAAACCACTGGCCTTGCGACGATCCCTTCCCAAGGCATGGCAAGGCATGGGCAATATTGCCTTGCTGTGCTGAAGGAAGTCTTGCTGACTTTGTCTGCTCGAGGCAATGCCCCGACACCAGACCGGACGCCACACGCTGGGCAAACGCACTGGCCGTCCTGGACAATACAGATCCTGGCAACTCGGTACTTATCCGTCGACGGACGGAGCAAGCCTTTCTGGCGGCGACTGAAGTGTGCGTCCGTCAGAGCCCTGATCACAGGGGCGCGATGCGTGCCCATGGCCATCACCGATGCAGCACAAGGCATTCATCAAAGAATGTCTCCCACGTCCAATCTGCCTTTTGGGGCTCCGCGCACCTCTTTGCCCAATTTTAGCGCACCGGCTGGGCCGGGAAACAGCCCTTGGAGCGATCGGATCGGTGAGATAGATATGGAATTGGACGACGTTGTGAGGCACTTGAAGCTGCGTCACGAGTCGCAGGAGAAGCTGGAGTCGTGTACTCCGTAACGAAGAACATGTTCGCAATGCATCCACGATACACCCTTAGACACTATAGCTCAAGTATGCGGTCCAAGTCGGGTGAACCCGGGCTAGCTTCATCGAAAGTCACGTCTCAATTCATCCTGCTACCGAAGTTCTACGCAAAAGAACCCGGTGCGGCAGCACGGCGCCCCCTTCGACTCTTTAAATACACGTCTATTCAATAATACATCCAACACCTCCGCGTTACAGCTTGATCTCGCCCGCCTCCAACGCCTTCCATTCGGCATCGCCAAACGGCACGTATGCGTCGCCCTTGAGCCAGTACATGTCGCCCGAGGCATCTCCGCTTCCTGGCCGGACGCCTTGTTGGCGCAGTGTGTGCTTCTGCTGCTTGTTGGTGCCCGTCGTCTGGGCACCGCCGCCAATCTCTGGGACGACGCGCAGGAAGAGCGGGACGGCATAGCGCGGCAGGATGGACCGAACATGGTTCGCGAGGCTGCGCAGAGCGTCGGGCCGCGGCGGGCCGTGGTCGAAGTTGATGGCGACGCAGCCGGCGCGACCGTCGTGGTGCGGCAGCTGAACGCCGTACACGTTGGCCTCCCGCACCGAAGGGTGCGTACCGACGGCGTGGCTGACCTCGACGGTCGACACGTTCTCCGACTTCCACCGGAAGGTGTCGCCAATGCGGTCGTTGAAGAAGACGCGCCCGTCCGAGTCCCATCGCGTCACGTCGCCCGTGCGGAACCACGCGTCGCCCTTGGCAAAGACGTCACGCATAATCTTGTCTTGCGTCGCCTTCTTGTTACCGTAATAGCCCTGGAAGCGCCTCTCGAGATCGTCGGCCGGCAGCTTAAAGAGCATCTCTCCCGGTTCGCCGGGGGTCACGCGTTTACACCACCCAGTCGCTGGATCGCGCAGCGGGGCGTCCGTCTGCCAGTCGACCTCGACGATGGCGACCTGGAGCTTCTGAAGCGCGTTGTAGAGCCATCCGTTGCGTCCGATGGCGCCCGCCGTCAGATCATTGCGGCTCACGTTCCACGTCGCAAAGGGGCCTTCGGTGGCGGCGTAAAACTCGACGATGGTCTCCACGCCGAAGCGCTCCTTGAACTCGTTCCACACGTCAGGGCGCAGGCCATTGCCAAAGGCAAGGGTCACATTGTGCTTGCGGTCGAGGTTCTCACCCGTTGCCGGGTCGCGCTGCGGTGGTGCGGCCAGGAGGTAGCGCAGCGTCTCGCCGACGTACTGAATCGACGTGGCGCCCGTCGCACGCACCTCGTCCCAGAAGAGCTTCGTCGAGAATTTGCGACCGAGGGCCTGTGTGCTGCCGGCCGAGACAGTAGAGCAGAAAGACAGAACCGCGGCTGACGAGTGGTAGAGGGGCATGGACGTGTACATGATGTCGCGAGAGCCGCGGCTGAGCAGCACCTCCGGGATGGTGCCGCCGACGATGCACTTGCCCCACGAGACGACGGCGGGTTTGGGAAGGCCCGTGGTGCCCGACGTGTAGATGAGGATGGCCAAATTGGAGAGCGTCTCCTCGTGGCGGTCGGCATCCGGGGCGCGCGTTGGCGGCGCCGCGAGGGCCTGGGCCTCGAGAGCTGGGGTGAAGTCGACGAAGCGCACGTCGGACAGCGCGCCCTTGACCTCATCGGTGACCTGCTCGGCGACGTTGGGGTCGACGAGGCACAGGCGGGTGGTGGCGGCCTTGAGGCAGTGCTTGAGGGGCTCGCCGGTGAGGTTGTAGTTGATGAAGGCGGGCTTGGCGCCGATGCTCCACAGAGCCCACCACAGAAGGATGAAGGTGTCGGAGTTTTGGAAGTTGATAGCGACAATGTCGCCAGACTTGACGCCGAACTCCTGTTTGAGAAAGGCACCGTAGCGGAGGACGCGGTCGTAGACGTCTGCGTAGGTGAGGTGGCGACCCTCGAAGATGATGAGATCCTTCTTGGCGGTTGACGGGTTCTTGGCGTGGTCCTCGAGGATGTAGAAGAGGTTGAGGCGATCACGGCGCTCGCGGATCAGGATGCGGCCAGCGCTCTTGAAGGCGCTGGTGAGGAGCTTCAGATCGTACCAGAAACCGGTGCGAGCGTTGAGGTAGGCCAGGCCAGCGGCCGCGGCGGGGGCGGCGATGAAGGGAACTAGGTGTGTCAGTTAACCATTTCGTTGGAAGACAACACACATAAAACGAAAGATGGTGCTCTGAAGTCATAGGGTCGCGTGGAAGTGAGGTCATCGTGAGCTCACGCTAGGCTCTGGACCCTGATCTGCTTGGAGGAGGGCGTGAAAGGCACACTCACAGGGCATGGCGGCGGTGTTGGCCACAGACGCGGCGCCTGCGTCAACGTGGTGCAACACAAAAAGAAACGCGGCGGCGTTGGGCGGCGTGTGGGAGCACCGGCGTGGTTGTGTTGCTGTTCTGGTTGCGTGGGTGGGCGGGTGGATGATGAAATTGATGGACAGGCGACGGTCAACAGAACAGGTGGATGGATGGTCGTCTCCCACCGTCAACGGCAGAGGGTCAAGAAGAACAGGGCAGGGAGAATATAGACAGACGAAGGGGCCAAGAGGCAGCTGCCGAGGAAGTGGGAAGCGGACGTGGCAGGCGGGCAACGGGAGAAACTAGGCGACAAGCCAACCAGCCGGAGCCGTGGTGCAATGATGTGCCCTCCGGGAAGCGTGGTGCCAACCCCGAGTCCGAGTGCTGGGTTGCTGTTGGGACCCTGCCCTTGGCGGTGCGTCAACGGCGGCACGCGCTTTCGGGTGGCTGCCAGGGGTCGGAGGGTTGTGACGGACGGACTGTGAGTCTGTGCTCCGGCCGCAGCAACGGCGGTGGAGGCGGCAAAGGTGATGCAGCGATCCCGCTGGTGTACGATGCACCGTTTCGTGCCAGCAGGGAGACGGTGGCGGAACGAGCTCCAGGCTCGTGGGGGATTCGCTGAGTGGCGATGGCTAAAAAGTACGAGTGATGGAGACGTTGACGAGATTCAGGGACGCAATCTCAACGCACAGGATGGAAGAGGTAGAGGTCGAGGTCGATGAGGCGGCGGCGGAGGGAGCTGCAGCAGAGGTGCGCCATGACGGCGGCGCTCATCGCCCGGCCGGCGGCAGCTGGGGATGGAGCTCGAGCCAGGATGGGCAGAGCTGGACAGCTGGCGCTGCTAGGTCGTCCTTGGCTGCGAGCGCGAAACGGGTGGCGTGGCGGGTAAAAGCAGACGGACTACTCTGATCCCAAGATGCCTCGGCTCGGCTCCAGCTTTTAGTCCAGAGCGCCGTCCTGGGGGTTGCGCCAGGGGCAAAATGCGGGGTAGTTATATCGAGCATCTGCTGTTGAGGGCGCCGACAGACAGCCCTGTGGCTTCAGCGAGTGAGTGCCATGCGCGTACGAGGCTCGAGTGAACGGGATTCGCGTTTGTTGCGAGTCCGTCGTCGCCGTCGTCGTCGTTTCGTGGCGGGCCAGTGGTGCCGCTGCTGTCCGCGTCAGAGACTCGCTCCACGCGAAGTTTGGTCTCGCGCCGGTGCTACGATCGTCGACATTCTGCAGGCGAGCCGCGCCCGAGTCGGTTTTGGAGACCCAAAAAGTGAAAATGGATGCATGCGAAGCATGTCGCGATGCAGATGATGAGCCCGAGCCCAGCTCGTTGGTCGACTTGATATAAAGATGCTCCTTCCCTCGCTTCTTCCTTGATAGTTGATACCCTCCTTCCCATCGACAGCAAACAATACGAGTACGCGAGACACGAGGGCAAGAGCAACCCACCGCATGCCGTTTCTGGTGGGTGCAGCGAATCGGCGCTTTCGTGCGCCGGTCCGTCGGCGCCTCGGGCCATTTGCCGCTCCGGGCCTGACAAGTGCGGCGCTGAGACCCCCTGTGCTTCTCTGAGCTCAGGACCGTCTTCAGTGCCCAGGTGGAGCAACGAGCCCCAGTGTTCCAGGGCCCGGGGTCAATCCAATTGGTGCCATTCACCGTCCTCCAAGTTGGGCCTTCACCTTCCCTCAACCATTTCGGGGGCCCAGCCAGCCGCTCACCGACCACCACACCGGGGCCACACGTGACTTCGCGACACGCCTGACAGCTCCAAGCTCCATCTGGCCTGTCGGCGGCTTTGGATGCCACGCTGCACAGTCCACCAAGGCAGCCTCACCCTCGCTCTGAGCCGATGCGCCCCGCCCGCGACTCGACAAGGGGCTTCCACACCCGCGTGCCTCTCACTGGCGACTGACGACCCTCCGCGCGTCGCATTGCCCCCCGAATTGTCCCCTCGCTCTCTTGGGGCCCATCCCAGTCGAGGCCACGATGGCTTCAGACTCGCCCGCCGGCGCGGCTGTCGCTCCCTCCTCCGCCCCGGCCGTCGCGCCCGCTGCCGCGTCCAAGCAGCCGCCCCCCGAGAAGCCTTCCGAGACGCGCCGCCGATCCTACATTGTCCTCTCGTTCTGGCTTATTGTGCTCGTCCTCGGCCTGCCCATCTGGTGGAAGACGACCACCATCTATCGTGCCGACCTCCCCCTCGATCGCATGCTGCAGTGGGCTGATGGAAAGGTACACTTCTCGGTGCCAGATCGCGATGACTTTGCTGACTGTCCAGGCCTGCCGCCCCGTTTTCCCTCTCCGCATATCCGTTCGCGCCGATGCGCTCCCCGAAAAGGAGGCCCAGCATCTCGTTCAGTTGACGCAGCATGCCATCGACGACCTCAACGACTTTTCCGGCCACCACCTGCGCCTTCAGCTCGATTCGAGACGCCATGGCGACGCCGACAAAGCTTCCGTACAGAATGCCGGCCAAGACGAGCCTGCGCTGACCATTCGCCTGGCCCCGGGTGAGGCCACCTCGGCCACCCTCAACCCGCAGGCGCCCGTCCTCGACATGACGTACGGGCCAAAGGAGGTGCCATCCGTCAACGCGGCCTCGTCCGCCCTCGCCTCGTATATCGCCGACCAGCTGCAAAAGACGTTTGACGAGGAAAAATCCATCATCTCGTACCTCCTCTCCTCCTCGGCCATGTCTTCGGGCGCCCGCCGCCAGGCCCTCAGCCCAGAGGATGCCGATGCGCTGGCCAAGCGCACGACTAAGTCGCTCCGCTACGCCCCGACCTACCATCTCACGTTTTCTCTCTTCACCGATGGCGCCGTCCCAAGCTCCTGGGACGTGGACCGTGCGCTCGACGAGTACCTGCGGCCCATGCTCGACGTCCTCCGGCCCATCCACAATTTCACCATCGACACGCAGGTCCAGCTCTACGCCACCCCCGGCGTCCAGTCGCAGGTCCTGGGCAAGGAGCACCTGGCGTCCTTCATCAATGCTGCCGAATGGCCACTGTCGCCCTCGATTGGGAACGCGCCGACCGTCAACTTTGTCGTGTTTGTCGGCAATCAGACCATTGGCATCGACTCGGGCGCCGAGACGTCGCAGTCGTGGATGATCCCTCAATGGGGCACGGTCTATCTGCTGTCCCTGCCACCTACGGCTACGCATGTCTCGGCCGAGACTTTGAGACAACCCATGCTGACCTTTGGCGGCCACTTGCTCTCCCTGCTGGGGACGCCGCGCTCGGGATCCCTGCCACTGAGGCTGTCGACGCTGGCGCGCATCCGCTCGACTGACCTGCTACTGCGGGCTGCCTCATCGTTGGGTTCCCTGGCCCGCCTCGCGCGCGCCTTGCCTTCTATCGCCATCCCGCGTAGCGTCGCGGACGGCGTGTCCAAAAGCATGCACCACCTGGAGCGCGCCTGCGCGAGTCTGGGCGGGCCTGAGGGCCTGCTCCATGCACGCATCGCAGAGGAGGAGGCGGAGCGGGCGTTCTTCGAGAAGAGCATGGTCGGGCAGCTGTACTTTCCCGACGAGCACAAGATTGCCGTCTACCTGCCGCTGTTGGGGCCGGTGGGAGTCCCGTTGGTGCTGGGACTGGTCAACGAGCTCAAGAACTGGATCAAGAGGCGCAAGCAAAAGGCAGCCGAGGCGCGGGACAAGAAGGCGCAGTGACGTGATGATTGGTCGCGTCGGCGTTGATGTAATGAATAGACTTTGTACTGCATGCATGATGACTGTTTGTTAGTAGGCGATTGTATAGATGGTGTTGAATTAATGTTTACTCCTATGACAACCTGGGGAGTGCCTGCGCGGCGGGTGATGCCGTGAGGCTGTCTGGGGTGGTTGCCTCCGTTAATTCAGGTACCACTTGCCAGTGACGTAGCTCAACTTACACCAGCCTGGCGCGCATTCCAGCGGGTTTAGACCCTTCCATCTTCGGCCACCTCCCACGGTTAGCACCACAACACCATCACGACACGACTCGCCAGCACCGCACTGCCCCGCGCGACGATGAATCCGCCTTCTCGCTGAAACTCAATCCCGAGAACCTGCGGGAGCTCCCCGCTGGCAGCGCCGACGCGTCCACGATCGAGCCCACGACCGCCGCGACGGTAAACGGCGTCATTCGCCTCGCCATGCTGCCCGAGCCGGCACTCAGCCTCACCATCCCGAGCCTGCACGACGGCACGCCGCTCGACTGCCGCGTCTACCACCCGGCCTCGCTGGCCGCAGGGAACCCGCGCGCCGCGCCCTGGAGGCGACATGCGGCGTTGCTGGCGCATCCGTATGCGCCCTTGGGAGGCAGCTACGACGATGGTGTGGTAGCGACGCTGGCGGGCAGGCTGCTGCGGGAAGGGTACCTCGTGACGACGTTTAATTTTCGGTGCGTTCTGGCGTCTCGACCTTGGCGATATGCTTTTCATCAATTGGAAGCTTCCTGGGGAAAAGCTAACGAGGCGTAGAGGTGCCGGACACTCGGCGGGCAGGACGTCGTGGACGGCAAAACCCGAGCGCGACGACTATGCCAGCGTCGTGGGCTTTCTGGTGCATTACGTTCACTATCTGGATCCGTTCCGGGCGACCGGCCACTCAAGGAACACGAGCAAAGACGGCGAGGAGGGTCAAAAGACGCCAATCACGGCCGTTGACGAGGCGGAGAAGCGAGAACACGACGAAGACGAGCAGGGCGAACCGAGAAGCGCATGTGGACCGCCGGTTCTCATCATGGGGGGATACTCTTACGGCGCCATGATCACGACCCAGGTGCCGCCCTTGTCCGCCCTTCTCGAGCCCTTTGACAGCCCGCACGCAGAGTCGTCCGCCGCGCACATCCGTCTCCGGGCAGAGCACCTCGCCGGGCAGCAGAACGAGATACTCGGCGGGGTACGCGCGGCGGCTCTAGCTCGCCTGCGCCACCAGCAGCAGCTCAGCCCGACGAGCCCGTCCCGGCGCCGTGGAGGCGTGCGCATCGGCGGGGACGAAGGCCCCGGAAGCCCGCGACGGAGCCACGACAGCAGCGGCGGGAGGAGGAGCTTTTCCCTCGACGATGCCGAGGAGAGGCTCAAACGGGGGGTGGGCGAGTTGCTGGCCAAGACGAGGCGACACGGGCACAAGGGGGCAAGGCCCGGGAGCGCGGGGGAGATGTCACGGGACAAGCAGACACACGCGAAAACTGACACAGAGGTGGAAGCGCAGGCGGCGACAACACTGCCGATCGTGGAGGACTTTGTGCTCCCCCGGGCGGCGTATGTGCTCGTCTCGCCGCTGCAAGGACTGGTCACGCATCTTGCGACAATGAACTTACTGCCCTCGGCGCTGACGGCTCGGCATCACAATCATCGGGGACACGATCGAGGCGCGGGCCATGGGAAAGACGACAGTGGCAGTCAGGGGCGAGATGCCTCAGAGGGGAAGCTGATGGCATGCCCAACCCTGGCCGTGTACGGAGACAAAGATGTCTTTGTGCCCGTGGGAAAGCTACGAGCGTGGGTAGCCCGCTTGACAGGCGGTGACGATGATGACGGCAAGAGCAGCAGCGCCTCCTTGTTCAGGGCCCATGAGGTGCGCGATGCGGGACACTTTTGGGCGGAGGAGGGCGCGCTGCCGGAGATGGAGGAGGTGGTTGGGGAGTTTGCGCGCAGGCTGCTGAGGGAGGCTGCCGATGGCGATGCGCATGAGCGAGCATGACTTATGACATGGCTGAGATTACGTCTTTAGTTGAAGCCAGCGAACTTCGGACTTGCCCTTGCATCATCTATACAGGCCGGATTGGTGATGACATGGAGCTGATTTGCCTGCTAGACGAGCTACTACGAAACAGTACAAGTACAATTTGATGAAGAGATAAAGACGACAAGCACAGCCGAGTACGCGGCCGTCGCGGCGATATCTCGGCCCTCCTGGCGTTGGTCAAAACCCCAACACTGGCCGCGAATAGCACCGTAAACATGGCTATCACGCCCAGCTGCGAAGTCTCATTCTCCAGCAGACGCAGCAGGAATATCGCGCCGAGGAGGAGGACCGTCGCGACGACGGTGCTGACCGCGGCGGCGACCCAGGCGACGTGCCGCTCGTCGACGTACTCCGTCTCATCTGTGAGTCTCGTGGTCTTGCAAGCGTTAGTCTCTACCTAAACCTGCCACTGCGATATTGATTGGGTAAATGCGACTATTGGACCGCGCACCTTGAACATCCAGTGGTCCTGGAGGAAGCGCGATAGGAGGTCTTTGTCTGCTAGACGTCTGACCGCGATGAGATCTCGACGGTTGCTTTCGTCGAGTCTGCTGGCAGCAAGGCCTCCGAGGACTGGCCGGCGGCGTTTCCCCCTGCCAGGCTCGTCGTCTTCAGACTGATACGCTTGGCAGCGCGCGACGTTCAAAGCCCGTTGCTTGGGCTCTTCGAGAATGGCAATCTGATTCTGGCGTAACAATGCCTCCTCTGCCTCAAGAGACTCAGAAGTTTGACCATTTACCGCTAGAAAAGGCAGTTGGATCCTCACGGTATTCCTGTAGGGCTTCCCTAACTTGCTCTGCTATCTTCATGCGAGCGAACTCTGGCCGAGACGGGTCCCTCGCATGGTCCTCAAAGGCCTCCCAGACACGGACCGAGCGGAGTGTCTCGTTGTCCTGGCTCAGCGCCGCCTCCTGGTCGGCCTGGGATAGCTTCCAGTCGAGGTAGGCGAGCCTGCTCTCGAGATGAAGCAGATTCCGCGCGCTGAGCCGGTCGTACCTCCGAAAGATGAAGGTTTCGTAGTCGGGGCTCATGGCCATGCGACTCGCCAGAAGCGGAAATCCTGTTCCGTCGCTCCCAGATGCGGTGCCCATCTTGACATATTCGGAATACTGAGCTTTACTTGGTAGTAATCGCGTCTGGTTGCAAGTATCTGGGTGCGCCAAAGCGGTTTAGGTGAAGCCACGGAATAGGCTTCATGGATATGCCTGACTTGAATAGTAGCACACCAGAGGTGGCTGCAGGTCCGGGCTCCTGGGATGAGTTGAGCTCTACCTCATTGCCCTCTGAATGCTCAGGATGAATGCAACCATCGGTACTCCTGGGACGGACACCATCCAGGCAAGCCACGTTGCAGCACACCAAGCAGCCTGTCGCTCGAAACGCATCCAAGCTGTGTCTTTGCCGTCTCTTCCTACGGCTTCCCTGTCGTTCGGGTTGCGTCGCCCAATTAGTCACGACCATGCATGCAGGAAGCTGGCAGAGAAGGAGGCGCAGCGCGATTGGGCTACAGTTCCTACCAGCCCTCTGCTCGAGTGACACCCGTGCATTGCTGCGTGTTGGGCCTCGGACAAAAGCCACACAGCCAAGGCATTCCCCAAGGCATCGGAGGTTCAGCTGCAGGCGTTTTGCGCGTCTTACAAGCTTGTCCAGCGCCCGTCAGATTTTTGACTGTACCTGCAATCGTCGCCTCTCGCTCACCAAGTGTTTCCTCGTACTGTCTCTCAGGGACGCAAAAGGGGCCAAGTTGCATGTGCAGCGTGACCGTCGTCAGCTTCTTCAAGACAGCCCTTCCTTCAGTGATTGATGGAGTCGCTTCGTACTGCCGCATCGCCAGCGAGTCGACACCATCGGCGCAGGTACGCCTATTCAAAGTTTGTCCCTAGGTCAGGGGGCGATCGCGAAATAGATCAGTGACGGCGCGACTGACGGAAAATTATCAGGTTTGCAAGGGATTGCAGGCTTTCGGACGATCGAAAGGCTCTGATACTTGAACATAAACGCCGCCTGATGCTCCATGCAGCCCCTCAACCTGTCAAGATAGACAGACAGCAAAGTGCTCTGAAATCGACCTCGAGCAACCCGGATCTCGACTACGGCCTCTTTCAACAACGACATCCCGTAAAGGGGTCGTCAAGCGGAGCGAGCCTGCGCGGTGTACGCTGTTACGAGGTGCCGGGAACAATCAACGGTGTTTCCGTCAATGCGCTTCCGGACTGGGGCTCTACGGTGGACGCGGTCTCGGAGGCCTTTGCGATTCAGCACGGCTTGCAGATCAGTCCAACCAAGACGCAGTCCATACGGCTTCTCGGGGGGCACACTGCAGACAGCATCGGCCGGGTTGTTGTCCATTTCAAGTTCCGAGACGAAGAAGCCGCTTATCGTCGTGAATTCCATGTGCTACGGAAATCCGTGTGTGACGTGGTCTTAGGCAGGGGTTTCCTCGACCTGTCCAAGACGTTGACTGAGCATTGTTATCGCGTTATCGAACGCGTTCGCCCCTGCGTCCGAAACGGAAGGCGCCTCTTCCTCCTAGACGAGTCTCCGAACGAACATCTTCGCTGCAACGTCAATGGCGCCAGGGCCTCGGCTTTTCTAGATACTGGGTCGGATCTCATGCTTGTCTCTGGAGAGTTTGCGCGCCGTAACAAGCTTCGCGTTCGCCGCGGTAGAAGGTACACGAGGCGGGTGGAACTCATCGATGGCTCCTTCATTCATACCGATGGCATGGTTCTCGACGCCATGCTGGAGCTCGACGCATGTGACAGGATGGGCACGCAAGAACTTGACTACGACTGCTATCTCGACTACGCAGCCAGGATTTACATTCTCACTGGACAGAGCGGATACACGAGCAAGGAAACATATATTTGCGACCTCCACGTCATCGACGATCTTCCTTGCGACATTATCTTCAGCAACGAGTTTATATTTCGGAACCGCATCTTTTCTAGGTTCATCAACGTACTCCACAGCCGGCCCAATAACGACTCACATTGCCGCGCGAATCCTGATGATAGTGTTTTGTTCATGAGAAATCGAAGTGCGAAGAGGTCGCTGTTGTCCCGATGGCGTCGGTTGCTTGACAGCGAAATGAGCGTCGAGTTGCCATTATACAGGAGTCAGGACAGCGATGCGTCAACAACACCGAGTGCTTCGCGACTAGCATCCTCGTGGAATGAGAGGTGGGAAGATGAAGAGGCGCGAAGAAACCGGGCACAGTTAAGGATCGCGCCTTTACCAGAGCCCCAAAGGTCCGTGGAGCAGAGAAGCGAAAACTACAGGCGCGCGATATGGGATAGGGACAACCCGAGGCTGCCAGCAACGGCGTCTCCTACGTCATCGGAGCGAGCACTGAGGCCAGCCCAAGACGGAAATCCTCAAATCCCGTCGCCGGCTGTTCTCTGCTCCTCTCAATCCACAGTGCACCAGGCCAGACCTCGGACTTGCAACGACCCAGGCGGACTCTCGCCATCAATGCCCGTACCATCGAGGCATATGTAGATGTGGCCTTTCATATTTTACTTCATGTGGCTCCTAGGTAGATTATGGCGGTATCAATACTTCGGAGACGAGGTTTCTGCATATCGCAATACATAGACGAATGCCAAAAACGCAGAGTACGGCGAGTATGAGAGCTAGAACTAGACGCAGGCGATGCTATATAATATAATACCATTTCACGGCAGTTCGTGTGTAGCACACGGGCACGTCAAATGCCACGACAGGCAGTGACAGGCCCCGCTGAGGTTGAGGCCGGCCCGGCCTGACCTAGAAGCGGCACCATGAACCTCGGTGTCAGTTTTGACAGGTGCCACCAGCGCATTCCGGGCGTGACGGACGAGGAAGACAAAATGGACACATAACGGCTCGGGAGGACCGACTGAATGGCTCAGAGGGCAGAGCTGATCAGCTCATATGCCCTTGCCGTGCGCGCTGCGTGCACAAGACCGAATCGGCTGTCTCTTGACTTGCATCGTCAGAACATGCTTCTGCTGGTGCTTCTGCTGCCCCAAGCCCGTTGCACGATTGTCGTCTTCGCCGTTTGTGCAACGTCCCGGCCGTAACTTGTAAGAAAGGCGTGGCGTCTGGTCGGGGTGGGGCCGAAGCTTTCGGGGCCGATGGCCAAGGTTTGTCGGGCGGGTCGGAGCGGCAGCAGCTTGGTGCAACCTAAACCCCCTCGGCAGCCGAAAGAGCGCATGCAATTGGCGATGGGACGGAAGGGGAACAGAAAACTGAGGGGCAGCTTGCTTCGGAGTTTGGAGTTTAAGCTCCCGACGCGCATAGCGTTGGAGTGACGTTGTGAGAACGGTCGCCGGATATATATGCGTCGAGGGCCGAATGGTAGAAACGTAGATGTACTTGCTACTCATACACTCGCGACAAAATATCACGCTCATACATACACGACAACCAAGCATGTCTACGCCGCAAAAGGTCTCCTTCGACTCGCGCGGGCTGCGGCTCGCCGCGCTCCTCCACCGACCCGCCGCGGGCTCCCCCCCTCGCGCCGGCGCCGCCATCGTCATCGCCCACCCGTGGACCTCCATCAAGGAGCAGTCGCCGGCCAACTACGCGCGCGTCTTCACCGCCGCGGGCTTCACCTGCCTGACCTACGATGCGGCTTACCAGGGCGAGTCGGAGGGCCAGCCGCGCGACCTCGAGGACCCGGCGCACCGCGTCGAAGACATCAAGTGCGCCGTCACGTACCTCGTCTCGCTCGCACCCGAAATCGACGCCAGCAAGATTGGCGTGCTGGGCATCTGCGCCTCGGGCGGGTACGTGCCCTTCGCCGCGCAGACGGACCTGCGCATCAAGGCCGTGGCCACGGCGGCGGCCGTCTGCGTCGGCACCATGGCGCGCCGCGGCTACGACAAGGACTCGTCCAACATGGAGGTGCTGCACGCGCAGCTCGAGGCCGCGGCCAAGGACCGCAACAGCGACGTGCCCGGCCACGAAAAGGTGCCCATCGTGCACATGCTGCCCGAGAGGCTCGAGGACGCGCCGCCCGACTTCCCCGAGTCGTTCCGCGACCTGGCCAGCTACTACCGCACGCCGCGGGCGCAGCACCCGCGCGCGACCAACACGACGCTGCCGCGCAGCTGGGACCTCATGGCCAACTTTGATGCCTTTGCGTTTAACGCCATGATTGCCCCGCGGCCGCTGCTCATGGTCACGGGTACGCGTGCGGCCACGCGCTGGTACAGCGAGGATGGCGTCGCCAAGGCCAAGGAGCCCAAGGAGCTGTACGTTGTCGAGGGGCTGACGCACGCGGACTTGTATGACAAGGTGGATGAGGCTGGCAAGAAGATGGTGGAATTCTTTGGCAAGTACCTGGTGTGATGTTTCACTCTACTATTGTTGGGTCCTGTTGAAATTAGGTGAACGTCACAAGTGAGAGGATCACCTGCTGGTCAGACGGATGCCGAGTGAGCGTATAAAATAGTAATGAACATGTAAAAATAACAAGGAGAATCGTGTGGCACCATCTTGCACTTGACATTGCGTTGAAGCCCCGACATGTTGGTTGGAAACGCATGAGACTGAAGCGTTAGTATGCTTCATCGCAACATGATCAAGAACGCAAGCGAGACACAATCAATGCACCCCCATGCGGCACGTCAAACGTCATCGAGTCGCGCAACATCTAACACGCGCAGGAAGTGCAGCGAAACGCCGCAAGAAAGCCTCGCGCTTCCATGGTCCGGTCACTTTGCGACGTCCCGCGACTCCATCCTGTCGTCATACCCACCATCACGCCTCCTAAACTGATGCCCACGCCGTTGAGGCTGCGTCCCGGCGGTGCGACTCCCACTCCGACAAACGTGCCCCCGACGTTGAAGCCCAGGCCACCGACTTTCTGGCCCGCCTCTGCGCCGCTGTTGGGTTGTTCGTGCCCCTGGGGCTTCTCGGCGGGCGGATATGGGTTCGCACCAGCCGCGGCAGTTTCGGCCTCATCGTTGGTTGTCATGACGTGTTGCGAGTATTGCGGCGGAGCGTCAGAGGGAGGCATCGTGTTTGTGGACTTATGCGAGGGCTGCAGAGACTCTCGTAAGCGTTTTGATCTTGCGACTCCGAAGTGTCGGGCGTTGTGTTAGTCTCGAGTCAATTCTCAATTGGGGCTTCTAATACTCGGATACGGAGGGTAGCCTCATGGCACATCCCTCTCTATATGCACCATTCGCCAGCGCCGGCACAGTCGTTCTAGAACAAAGATTACGTGGATGGTGTCAATAGACGCAAATCCTACTGCTGCACACCGACCAGATTCATGCAAGCCGACCAATGGCCGCCGAAACCACGTGCCCAGCCTTCGAGCTGCCCTTTGCGGACAGTCCCAGCAGCGAAGAGCCCGAGCCCTCTTTTTTGGTAGAAGCTGTATTCCCACAGCAGCAACCCCAAATTGGTGGCACGCCATTGACCAATTCCCGACCCTGGATTAGCCATCCTCACGTGCGCTATACATGTACCGTGCATGTCATGTTCATACCCACACGGAGTCACAAGAGCTCGTGGTCACGACAATAGAGTTCCGGTGTTGCTTCCTCGGAAATGACAAAATGTTTGTTGGAAACAACCTGCTGGACAGTTGAAACACCACATTTGTTTTGTCGCGACATTTGGATCACTCGGTTGGTTCACTAGCCGCGACGCACAGAGAGCCACTGTGCGTGGTCCTTTAAATAATAAGAATTGAATCATGACTAGAGCCTCTCACGGCTACATGTACGGAAGAGGAGGCGATGGTTCAGCGTTTGGCACATTTCGAGTCTCTTAAGATGCACTTCCGCACAAGTAGCACTATTGAGGTCTCCTCGTCGAGGTCGCCGCGGTTCTCCTGTGCGTCCGGCTCTCATTCACTGAACTCTCCAGCCTCTCAGTTTGACGCCCTCAGAAATAGCCTCAATCATGAGACTAAGTCCCATAGTAACCCTACTTGGCTTCGGCCGCGCCGGCCTCGCGATCCTCTACAACGGTGTAAGTTACTGAGGCGAGCTTCGGGCCCAGTCCTCGCTCCACCGTTGCTAAACCTCCTCATACCTAGCTCTGCTTCGTCGAGGACGGCCACTGCCGAGTTGCCACCGTCGACGAATGGCGCCTACCCAGGTTCACCATGGCAGACTTTGCCATCAAATGGTGGCTGTGCCCCGAGCTCTATACCAGCCACCCTTGCCTTCCAGGCAGCGACGCTAAGGTGAGTGCATGTGTGCACTGAGGGTTTGGAAATAGTAGCTGTCAAGGCCGGACCTAAAGGGCCATGCGCCATCAGTCCTTGTGCTAACTACCAACGTATGAATAGTGCATTCGCGACGGAACCCCCTGCAAATGGTCGACGTACCGCCCGCAAGCATTTTGTCAATGAAACACTGGCCGCTGGCCGCTGGATTGATCAGCCGAACCCAACGGCTCATCCGCTTGCACCAAATACCAGTGAACCTCTGCACGAAAACGGCCATATCTAAGGCGACCTTCAATAGAGTCACTCTTTCAAGGCGGCGGTCTGGTGCATGCCGTTGAGCTGGGTATGCAACTCGCTGTGGATGAAAACGCTGCTACACTACTTGAATCCGTTCAACGCTGTTCTTCAGCCGACGCAGCTGTAGGACCAAACATGAAGCATGGAGCAGAGCAGGGCGCAAATGGCAAGGCATACAATCTGGTGGTCACGAAAATGTAAAAGCATTAAGGCGAATCGGGGCACTCGCAGTCAACCATCGTAAAGCGCATTAGGCTGCGCATGTGTACCCTCTGTTCATCTTGACTTGTAGGCCTTGTAGGTGAAGTTGCACTTGACGCCGCACCGACCTCCCCACGAGAGAGGGAGTCCAACCCGCCATTTCCACCACCGGCGCTCTCCCGCCAGCCGTTTACTTTGTCAAACTCACCGGTACAAGCACAAGACGTTGAGACGGCTTGCTGAGACCAACGATCTACAACACCACCCGCGGATCTACAGCAGTTTCAAAGACGATGCTCACTCGAGCGACTCGACGCCCGGTTGAATGACGTGCGGAGAAGGAGGGGCGCCATCTTCGCCACAAAGTTGGGGTAAGCCCGCCACCAGACGGCCGGCCGCCCTCCCGTGTCTGGCGCCCGGCGACCCCGAGCGCCGAAGCCCGCGGAGCCCGACCCCGCCGAACCAGGTCCAGGGCCGACCACGGCGTTGACGGACGATACGGCATATCTCGCTGAAACGGGGGGAACGTGGCAATCGCGATAAGTCCCGAGCTGTTACGTATCTGCAATCAAGGGGTGCCTCCACGGAACCCCGCAAAAGCCTCCCCCGGTCTGGATCTCGTTGACCCGCGCGCGCCCGCTGGCCCCGGGCTGAATTTGGCATCTTGGAGGAGAGCCGAGCTAGCTGTTGGTGGGGACTTGAGAAAACCCCAATTAACTTTCCCCGACTTACACGCCTGAGCTGGAGCTTTGCAGCGTCATTGCACAACTTTCACCTGTCCATCAACACCTTGTCAATTATTCGCAATGGCTCTCGCAACGAAGCTCAAGGCGCCGAATGGGCGGTCGTTTACGCTGCCCACCGGCCTGTTCATCAACAATGAGTTTGTCAAGGCCGCCTCTGGCAAGCGCCTGTCGAGCGTGAGCCCGACGTAAGTTTACACCATAAACTTCCCCCGCAACTGCACATTTCGCAGTCTGACAAAGTGAAACAGTGACGGCAAGGAAATCTGCTCCGTCGAGGCGGCAGGCCAAGAGGACGTCGACCGGGCCGTCCGCGCGGCGCGGCAGGCGTTCCGCTCCCCCTCGTGGCGCGACATCACGGGCGGCGCGCGCGGCGCCCTCATGCACAAGCTGGCGGACCTGGTCGAGCAGCACCAGGAGACGCTGGCGACCATCGAGACGTGGGACAACGGCAAGCCGTACAGCGTGTCGCTCAACGAGGACCTGCAGGAGGTCATCGGCTGCATCCGCTACTACGCGGGCTGGGCGGACAAGATCCACGGGCAGACGATCCCGACGACCAAGCACAAGCTGGCGTACACGCTGCGGCAGCCCGTGGGCGTGTGCGCGCAAATCATCCCCTGGAACTACCCGCTCGCCATGGCGGCGTGGAAGCTGGGCCCCGCGCTGGCCACGGGCAACACCGTCGTCCTCAAGCCCGCCGAGCAGACGCCCCTGTCCATTCTGTACTTTGCCGACCTGGTGCGCCAGGCGGGCTTCCCGGCGGGCGTGCTCAACATCGTCAACGGGCTGGGGCGCGACGCGGGCCAGGCGCTGGCGAGCCACCGCGGCATCGACAAGATTGCGTTCACGGGCTCGACGCTGACGGGCCGCGAGATCATGAAGACGGCGGCCGTCAAGCTCAACAACATCACGCTCGAGACGGGCGGCAAGTCGCCGCTGCTCGTCTTCGCCGACGCCGACATCGAGCAGGCCGCCAAGTGGGCGTATGTCGGCATCATGAGCAACCAGGGGCAGGTCTGCACGGCGACGTCGCGCCTCCTGGTGCAGGCGTCGGTGGCGGACAAGTTCACGCGCGCCCTGCTCGACGTGGTGCGCGCCGAGGCCAAGACGGGCGACCCCTTTGCCGAGAGCACGACGCACGGCCCGCAGGTGTCGCGCGCGCAGTACGACAAGATCCTGGGCTTCATGGAGCGGGCCAAGAAGCAGGGCGCGCGGTGCGAGCTGGGCGGCGGGTCGGCGCAGCGCGAGGCCACGCCCGGCGGCGACGGCTTCTTCGTGCAGCCGACCGTCTTTTCGGGCGTGACGCAGGACATGGAGGTCTTTCGCGAGGAGGTGTTTGGCCCGCTCGTCACGGTGACGCCGTTCCGGGACGAGGACGAGGCCGTGGCGCTGGCCAACGACAGCATCTACGGGCTGGCGGCGGCGGTTTTCAGCAAGGACATTGAGCGGTCGCATCGCGTGGCGGCGGCGCTCGAGGCGGGCATGGTGTGGATCAACTCGAGCAACGACTCGGAGATTCAGGTGCCGTTTGGCGGCGTCAAGCAGAGCGGCATCGGCCGCGAGTTGGGCGAGGCCGGGCTGGCAGGTTACACGGAGATTAAAGCCGTGCACGTCAACCTGGGGTCGAAGCTGTAGGCTGATTCAAAAGTATAGTCGTGTATCACAATGAATGGGAGTCATGTAAACCACCTCATGGCCAATGTCCAACAAAGTGTGTATCCATTTATGCTGGTATCGTTCAAGCACAGACTAGACACAAATGCTGCAGCTATGAAACACCACGTCGACAGTATACATGTATGCTTAGGTGTTTTAAGAAACAGTATAGTAATTAACACTGTAACGTGTAAAGAATGGCACGCTAGCTAGTAACGCGCTGCATGAGAGACAGAACACTAGTGAATTACAACAGCTCAGACTAGGCTGGAAAACGCAGCTACATTTCTGTCGCGTCGTCTCCCTGCCCCAACACAACTAATCGTTGGCGCCAAGTTACGGACAAGTCAAGCGTCCAGCCGCTGAAGCCGCATAGCTCGCATCCGTAGCTCAGCGCCGACGACTACATGTACATATCAACTACCGGACGAAGACCCGCCGGCACCTTGAATCAAGGGGCCATCTTCTTGTCGGCGCCCTGGGGGGGCACCACGACAGTGTCACCCTCAGTCGACACCTCGCCCTCGGCATTCTGCGCGTAGAGAATGTGCTCGGCCATCTCGTTAATCTCCATAAAGGTCTTGCGGCCCTGGATGAACCAGAAGCCGATGGAGACGACCATCATGACGCCAAAGACGGCAATGGCGTAGTTCATGTCGCTGGCGGCGGGGCTCGGGGTCGTGGGGAAGAAGAAGAAGATGGTGGTGATGACGCAGTAGACGATGGAGATCCAGTTGACCGTCGGGCCGAAGCTGCCCAGGGAGAACTCGCCGCGGGGCAGCTTGTCGCGGCCGACGAGCGCCAGCGTCAGGATGGGCATGGCGTACGACACCGTCAGGGCGATGGTGCTGACGCTGAGAATCGCCTGCAGCACCGTGTTGGCAAACAGGTACAGCACGCCGACGAGCGCGATGATGCCGGCCTGCAGCCAGAGCGCGCGCCCGGGCACCTTCCACACGGGGTCGACGTGCGCAAAGTAGGCGCCAAAGGGGATGCCGCCGTCACGGGCAAAACTCCAGGTCAGACGCGACGACGACGTCAAGACGCTGATGCCCTGGCCGATGCCGTTGAAGACAAAGAGCCCGATGAGGACGCCCGCGCCCGTCAAGCCGACGGTGGACTGCGTGATCTCAATAAAGGGGATGCCCGTGGGCGAGTCCATGAGCTTGTCAATGTCCTGGATGCAAAACAGGCACACAATCATGAACAGGAAGCCAGACAGCGCGCCAAACAGCACGGCCAGGTACATGGTGCGCGGGGCGTTGCGGCGCGGCGCGGGAATCTCCTCGACCATGTGGATGACCGAGTCGAACGCCGTGAGGCCGTACGCGCCCTGCACGAGACCCAGGAACCAGGTGACGCCGTCGGACCAGCCCGTCTGGTTGAGCCACTTGCCAAACACGAAGCTCGCCTTCTGGAAGGACAGCTCCGACTTGGTGCCGACGCTGATGGGCAGGGCCAGGCCAAAGGCAAAGAACAGCGCGACGAACCACACGCCGACGAACTTGTTGAAGACGGGCAGGATGGCGTCCTTGCGGCAGGCGAGGTGGTTGAAGAGCGTGAAGACGGCCGTCATGGCGATGTAGACGATGAACTGCAGCCAGCCCTTGCTGGCGCCCTCCCAGTCCTCGTCAAACATGACCTTCATGGCGAGCAGAAAGTCCGTCATGAAGGCGATCTGACTCGCCGTCAGGGTCCACCAGCCAAACGTGTTGATCCAGGCGCACATGTAGCTGGCGAAGCGGCCGGTGGGCGTGTTCCACAGCTGTGAGATCCAGTAGGCCTGGCCGAGGGCGGTGGGCATGCTGCTGCACAGCTCGCCGAGGGAGACGGCGACGCAGGTGTTGCAAAAGGTGACGAGGCAGAGGCCCCAGAGGATGGCGACGGGCCCGCCGTTGGTGAGGCCGTTGGTGAGGCCCTGTGCCATGGTGGACCAGGTGCCGAGGACGCAGAAGGCGAGGGCGAGCATCGACCAGATGGAGAACTTGCGCGAGAGCGACTGCGCGTGCCCGAGGGCGGCGAGGTCGTTGGCGTCGCGGACCGCCTGGTCGAGCGTGTCGAGCGTCTTGGAGGGGCCGAGGTCGCTCATGTTGCTGGTGGTTGGGTGCATGGTGTTGACGGCATTGTTGTCGCTGTTCATGGCGCCGGCGGAGGAGGATCCGGCAGGCTGGATTTTGACTCGGTCCATGTGATGGCTTTGTAGTAGAGGGCCACTGTCATTCTCTGGGGGCTTGGTGTCGACAGAGTCTGACGAGAAAAGAGTATATGAGGTAGAGAGGCTAGCGGTGACGACGAGGTCGCACGGAGCTGGACATATAAAGGGTATGTTGCTTGGTGTGATGGGGGATAATGCGATGTGACCAAGGTCTGAGGGGAAGAGAGGAGCTTGTGCCAATGGATAGCCGCAGGGGACTATATGCAGAGTGATTACTGAGGAGTTGAGGGAATAGTTGCTGGCTGACTTGTCCTTGTCGATCCAGAGCGCGCGACTTGCTGCAGATAAGGGGAACCAGAGAGAGCAGTCGTTCCAGTCCAGTCGTCGTCGCAGCTGCGGGAGGAGGGCTGGCACTTTGTACTACCGGGCTGTCCCGCCACGATTTGATTTCGAAAGACGGCGACCACACCCTATCTCCCGCCTGGCGCCCTCGTCCGTCCGGGGTCGGGTTGGGCTAGCTGGCTGGCTGGCTGCGTGAGGCGCGTACCGGTACCGTCCTGATCGACCTCCGGGGGGGTTCCAATAAGGCCCGGCCGCAGCAGTTAGTGGCAGTCTTTGTCGAGGCCGCACTACCTTCCTGGGGTTCAGAGTAAGAGTCGGAGACCGGGGTATGTTGGAAACGGCAGGGACGGCAGTCTCAGCCCAGCCTCGTGCGCGCCCTGGTGCTGGTCGTGGTGCGCAACTATGTCCCGCGCCCTGTGACGCCACACGAGAAACTCACGGGCGGGCACACGCGCTCGCTCGTCGAGTGACGACGGTCCGGGTCCGGGGGCAGGCAGGCAGGCAGGCAGGCAGGGGGGGACGGGACAGGTTTCCCCTCATCTTGATGCCCGTTCTTGGGGAGGGGAGGGGGCGGCGGCGGTGGCCTCCTTACCCCAACGACGGCCGTCCCGCGCAAAAGGTAGCGTAGCGTATCACAGGTTTCTGCCGTGTGTGGTGCTTGGTGTGTGTGTGTGTGCGTGTGCGTGTGCCACAGCCAGATAGCCATATCAGGCTTAACTAGCCTAGCCCAGATGGCTGACAAGCGGCGCGAAACGAAAAGAGATTGTCGCCTTCTGGGCCCTAGGCAGAGTTCCAAAGCGGAACAATAACCGGGGCTAGTTGACTGAACTCGACATGGCTGTTTTTTTTTGCCCCCCCAATTTTCCCCATACTTGAACACTACGATACGTATCAGGGCCGCCACGCGGGCGGCGGCGATAACGGCGCGAGCGGCATGGCGTCTGCGGACGCTGCTGCTGCCACCGGGGAACTGTAACTCTAGCTAGGCACTCAGTGTGTTGCCACGCGGAAACATAAGGTTGAGCTTAAGCGGGTGGTAGAGTCGCAACCCGCGCGTGCTGCGCACTGACAGCGTCGCAGAGCTAGCAGGAACAACGTTTTACGTCAGGAACATGGCAGCGCGGGCCGTCGCCGTCGCAGCAGCGATAGTTTACCGCGAGTTGAGTTGAGCGATGCGACGTTGGTAGGTAGGTAGGCGACTCCCGCTGCTCCGGGCTCGTCCGTCTGTGCCGACCGACCGACCGCCCGCCCACACGTCCGTGCTGCTGCTGCTTCTTCCGCTGTTGCTGCGCCGCCTCCGTCGCCCGTATCTTGGCTGTAAGATTATGTGGGTTGGGGTTTCTAAGGCGTCTTGTTGCAGAACATTCGTCACCGGTCGGCGGCGGCGGCGGCGGCGCCGGGATGCACGGACAGCAGCGCGCGCCCTCCCTCCCCTCGCCCCCGATTCCCCAGATTATTCCCCAGATTATCTGTTGCTCAGATCCGTCGGAAAGATTGCGCATTACGAAACAGATTTGGGGTAAAGCCCCTTGCCCCCCCCACGGCGCCTCGCGTGCGCCGCGATGATGCGCCGGGACATGGACCAGTACGCTTGGTGAGATCCTTCGCAGCATCAATGGAGGCCGCGGGCGCCCGAGCGAGGCCCGGATCTGGGGGCTTCGGGCTCCGTGTGGGCGGCGGTGGGTCGCGGCGTGGCGCCCCGTTGGAGAATGCCTGCCGGTCGTCGGCGACAGGGAGGGCTGATAACGTGGCTGCCAGCGGGTGGCTTGCATGCTTGCCTTGCCTTGCTTACCTCCTGGCGTCCGTCCAGCGGGAGCCCCGAGTCAGGCATCGCCGAAGTGTCGTCTGTCTCCGCAACGGCGGGTACGAACCCCCTTTGTCGACACGTTCTGTGTGTGGACTCGATACGTACAGTATACAATGGCGGTCGAGACCGGGCGCAAATCTCGAATCTCGTTGATGCGAGAGGTGGAGATCTGGGGAACGCTTACCACGAGCCGGTGCCGGTCTTGCGGCTTGCCTGCGTAGTGCGTACGTCCTGCCCAAGAGATCATGCGTACGGCACAGAGCACGGAGTCTGGTACTGCAGCACTAAGAACATGGATTAGTCTGCGAGCACACGCTTACACCCGGCCAGATCACGCCAGGCCAGACCAGACCGCACCAGCGCGGCTCCGGCTGATGCGAAGCTGGCACGTCCGTCCACCCGTGCTCGCCACCGACCGACCCCCGACCCGGGGGCGAGCTAGGGGGAGCGAGCACGCACGCAGCTGCGAGTATGTGGCATTGTGGGACACTCGGCCCCCGCGGCGACGGGCTCGGTGCCCGGCCGGAGAAGCTGCCGGCGAACTCTTTTGGAAGACTGGGCTATAAGTGTCTTGCTGTGTGCTGTACTCGAAATGTCTGGATGAAGCCATCACCAACACCCCCATCTCTACCCCCTTACCACGGAGCCAACACACATCATGGCGGCCCCTGCGATACATCAGCAACAGCAGCAGCAGCAGCAGCTGCCGGACACGACGTCCATCCCCGGCTACATCATCCTGCCGGACCCGGACGAGAATGCGCCCCAGGCCGCCGCGCCGCCGCGGACGGCCGTCCACCCGCTTGGTGAGTTTGACTTGCGCGCGCAACGCCTCGACGTGCTAGACTCTCAGGGGTATTTTATTGACAACAAACCACAGACCAGCTCTCGGCCGTGGAAATCACCACCACGGCGCGCCTCATCCGCGAGCACGCCAGCCCCAAGCAGGTCAAGTTCAACTGCATCACGCTGCGCGAGCCCAAGAAGAACGAGTATGCCGCGTTTCGTTCACGCGTGGGCCCGCGCCCGGAGCGGCGCGCCTTCGCCATCGTGCTCGAGCAGGGCACGGCCAACGTGGCCGAGGTGATTGTCAACCTGACGCAGGGCCGCGTCGAGGACTGGCGCGCCGTCAGCAACGTGGCGCCGACGCTGACGCTCGAGGACCTCGACGTCATGGAGCGCATCGCGCGCAAGGACCCCAAGGTCATCGAGGCGTGCGCCGAGATCGGCATCACCGACATGAACACCGTCTACTTCGACGCCTGGGCCATCGGCATCGACCGCCGCTGGGGGTTCGAGCGCCGTCTGCAGCAGGGCCTCCCCTACTGGCGCGCGTCGCCCAGCGACAACCAGTACGCGCACCCGCTCGACTTCACCGTCGTGGCCGACACGGAGACGGAGGAGGTGCTAGCCGTGGACATCCGCCGCGTCAACGGCGAGCGCACGGCCGTGCCGCAGGCGCAGCACAACTACCTGCCCGAGTTCATCGGCGACATGTACCGGCCGCAGCGGCTCAAGCCCATCGACATCACGCAGCCCGAAGGCGTGTCGTTTGAGATGAAGGGCAGCGAGATCCACTGGGCGGGCTACAAGATGCACATCGGCTTCAACTACCGCGAGGGCATCGTGCTGTCCGACGTGCGCTTCGACGACCCCTGGCAGCAGCGCGAGCGCACCCTCTTCAACCGCATCAGCGTCGTCGAGATGGTGGTGCCCTACGGCAACCCGGAGCCGCCGCACCACCGCAAGCACGCCTTCGACGTGGGCGAGTACGGCAGCGGCTTCATGACCAACTCGCTCAAGCTCGGGTGCGACTGCAAGGGCGCCATCCACTACCTCGACGCCGTGCTGTCCACCAACAAGGGCCAGGCCGCCATCATCAAGAACGCCATCTGCATCCACGAGGAGGACAACGGCCTGCTGTACAAGCACACCGACTTCCGCGACGCGAGCGTCGTGTCCGCGCGCGACCGCAAGCTCATCATCTCGCAAATCATCACCGCCGCCAACTACGAGTACGGCTTCTACCACACCTTTACGCTCGACGGCACCTACAAGCTCGAGATGAAGCTGACGGGCATGCTCAACACGTACTGCATGCACCCGTCCGAGACGGCCGCGCCGTTTGGCACCGAGGTGGCCCCCGGCATCAACGCCCACAACCACCAGCACATCTTCTCGCTGCGCGTCGACCCGGAGGTGGACGGGCCCAACAACTCGGTCATCCAGAGCGACGCGGTGCCCTACGAGGCCGAGGTGGGCTCGGCCGAGAACCCGTTCGGCAACGGCTTCTACTGCAAGAAGACGCCGCTGCGGACCGCCAAGGAGGGCGCCGCCGTCTACTGCCACGAGACGAGCCGCGCGTGGGACATTGTCAACCCGTCGCGCCTCAACCCGTCGGCCAAGAAGCCCGTCGCCTACAAGATCATCAACAACAACTGCCCCGCCGTGCTGGCCAAGCCCGGCAGCACCGTGTGGAAGCGCGCCGCCTTCGCGCGGAAAGCCCTCTGGGTAGTGCCCTACCGCGACTACGAGCTGTTCCCGGCCGGCGACTACGTGTGCCAGTCGACGGGCGACGAGGGCTGGGAGAACAACCTGACGGTCCTCGACTGGGCCAACCGCGACGAGAGCATCGAAAACACAGACATTGTCTGCTACCTGCAGTTTGGCCTCACGCACTTCCCCCGCACCGAGGACTTTCCCGTCATGCCCGCGGAGCCCGTCAGCATCATGCTGCGCGCGAGCAACTTTTTCGAGAAGAACCCCGCGCTGTGGGTGCCGCCGTCGCAGATCAAGTGCGACAGCTCCTCGCGGAATGCGTTTTCCGAGAGCGCCGCCGCCGCTGCGGGTGGATCGTGCTGTAGCGGCAAGAAGCTGCCGTCTCACCTGTAGGATGATGATGGACGGGCGTCGACGCCGGGCATATGAGCGAGCGAGTGTTTTCTTGTAATGTGATTTTGTCGTGGTTACATGGCTGGACGGATGCATGCCTTGGATGGCACCCATGGATTGATGGTCCACAGATGACCAACAGGAAGGATAACTAGAATGAATGACAAGCAATTACTCATATTTTATGCGGTCCTGCGATGTTGGCCTCGCCGTGATGTGTATTATCGCAGAATGAGGTGAAAACACAGCACGTACTACGGTAACTTGCTACTCACCTGCAATTCTTCTGCGGATGAATTGATAGGCAGCACCTACACTGACGTTGCCTGGCGGCACACTGGACAAGGTAGGTCTCTGGCGGAGCAGGTTCAACGCCTGGCAATAGCTGTTTTCGCGCGAGGTAGCAACATGAATCGTGAAAGCCCAAGTAGACTGCGTGAAACCAGCGCTGCGTCTAGCTACACCCGTCGGCCCCCGCGAAGTCCAAGTCTGACGTTAACAAGCATCGAACCCAACACCAGGCACCAGATACCAGACGAGAATGTCGCAGACAGTCACAATGCCTTGCGGGCGGAATGAGACTGGCGATGGCAGGGCACACGAAGTACTCCGCCACGCAACCTCGTAGCGGCTGTACTTCCAACACCCGCCCCAGCCACTCCAGGTCACTCCCAGAGGGTGCTTCCCATTTTCACATCCGTTTAATCCAATTCAGTCGTCCACCCACAGAGAAAGTGGCTGCCCGTGCGCGCCTTCCCCTTCCAGCCGCCCTTCCATCGAATCCATCCTCCGCCTTCCCGCCCAAAAATAGCCACGGAGCACACGGCCGGCGGTTAAAGTGGAGCCCTCCGGCCAATCCGGAGCCGCCCTGCCCCCTGGGACGTTGGGGGCGCCCCGGGCGGCAGGGGTACGTACCGAACCATGAGTCTAAATCGGGGCTCACACTTCCACTTCCACTTCGCTCCCACACACACAGATCCGTGTAGACGCGCGCTTGCGCACAACATGCCCAATTTTCTTTCTTCAGCGTCAAGGCGCGAACGACAGGAAAAACTCAAACGGGCGTCGGTGCCTGGGAGCCTTGAGGTGCGGGCGGGCGGGCGACGGACGGACGGACGGGCCAATCCCGCGACGCGCCCGGACCAACACTCGACGACTCTCCGGCTGATGAGGCGCCCAACACCCCCCCCACCACTACACTTACACGCAGCGGCACCCGTCTGCGCTGGGCTGGGCTGGGCAGTGGGCAAGCAGGGCGCGCCAGCCACAACGGCACGATGATGTCGTGGAGGGGCCGTTCTCGGTGTAAGCTCTGGACGTGGGAGCTGCCCTCTCTGACACTCTGACTCTCTCCCTGCGACTCCAGTCCCTCCAGTCTCCAGCCGGCCCGCCGCCGCTTCCTGCTCCCCCCGGCTGTTGGTACCTGGGGTCTGTGCCTGTGCCTGTGCCGCTGCCGACGACCTGCAAGTGCTGCTTGCTTGCCTGCTTGCTTGCTTGCCGCCCGCCATGCAAGCCCCGTCCGCGGGAGGACCCATCGCGAGGCGTACCTAGGCGAATGCAATGCACGAGGTACCCCTTCATTTCTCCCACGACGCGCTACTTGCCGCCGCCGTGGATCAATATGCCCTTCAGCGATCGATCAGATGCCCCGAGTTGACCTCAGCCTGAGGGGATCAGCGTCCGTCTCAGTGCCCGGTAGCCTTGTCTGCTTCCTGCCTGTGCTGCCGTCTGGAGTATTCTGGTCAGTGCTCATGTCCATGTCTCGGGGGCATGGCGAGTAGTGCCCGTGCGGGAGGTTGCCTTGCTGCCCCAGCCTGCTGGCGGCAAGGTTCGCCAAGTCAGTGGATCGGGATAGCCTCTGGAGCCTGCACATGGTAGTCTCCCAGTCGCTGATCCCCCGCGGCGATGCAATCTCGACATGGAGCATGCCCCAACGACGTCTAACCGCTGCCGCCACCCCCAACACCAAGCCAGACCAGACCACACCAGACCAGACGCGGCAAACACCACTCGCCCGCTGTCCGATCCGCCCACCAGCATCAAGGGCGCTTCGCCATACGGGCTCTGCGCCGCTGCGTGTCTGGTGCGCTGGCGTCCATGTCCACGTCCCATGTAGCCTTATCTAGATCCTCCATCCGCGGCAGGAGCCAACTAGCCTCCATCTCGCTCCCCTTCCTCCCTTCCTACATGTACATGCACCCAAGCTGTGTGTGTTCCACCCCAGCTTTTGAGACTACAGTCCCCCCCTCTTGTATAACCGCCGCGCATCGATCCAGTCCTCCACCGCGTAGCCGCCCGTCGTCCCTCTGCGCCAATATCAGCGACCCGTTGCGCGCAGACTCGCCTCTCCGGACACGGCTGTCCGTTTCACTTCCCCTTTTGTCCTGGGGGCGTCTGTTTCATCGTCGTCCGCAACAGCCGCCGGGGGAGGGCTAGCTTCCTCCAGCCCGTTGTTCCATCGACAACACACAGCAGGTACACCGTCGGGCCGTCAGAAGCATCCTAGCACGTACTCCATATTTGCAACTACTTTGTTTCCAAAAACGTATACACGCGAGGTTTGCGAAGAGCCGCAAGCGCCACGGACGCCATTCGACGCCGTCTGCGACACTGGAGAGCATCGATCGTTTGGCTCGGGTGGCACTTCGCAACAGGAACATCTGCCAACTTAAAACACGGTCCATGTCCATCTGGTCAGGTCCCCTTCTCCTTCCCGAGGCCCGTCTCTCATCCAGCTCCAGTCGTTTCATTCTTCCGTCTCTCCAACTCCACTCTTGTTCTCTTTTTTCCTTTCTCGTCAAGGTCGTTTCCTTTGGTCGCCTCTGGGCACATACACGCCGGGCCTCGACCACATACAGCCCGCCTAATCCGACACCCCTTCCACTCTCGCTCCCGCTCTCCTGTGTTTGTGTCTGGTCTTTGGAGGCAACACTCGATCCGGCCTAGAGTCACATTGAAGCGCTCTCTTAATCGATAATCCCTAGCGTCCAGTCGACAACCGTTGTTCGACCGCGAGCCGGCCTTCGGTCAAGCACGATACCGACTGCCAAATACCCTCCGTCTGCTCCGCCTTCTTCTCCCCATTTCGTCATCAAAATGCCCAAACACAATCGCAGCGCGAGCGGGCATCCCTCTCACTACGCTCAGATGGCTTCTGGCCTCCCCTCGCCTCTCTACAGCCAGCAGCGTGTCGCCATCCCGGCGAGTTACTACACCATCCCGGGGGCACCCTCCTCGTCCATGTCGCAACAGCTCGCCTCCCAGCAGCAGTCGCAAGCGCAAGCCTCCTTCGACCCAGCTGCCGTCGCCGCGGCATCCTCCTACACCACCACGACCGATCCCTCCGCCGCCGCGGCCGCCACCATCACGGCCATCCCGCCGGGCCAGCACCGCCCCAGCTCCGGCGCCTGGTCCCCGCAAGACGACCACCAGCTCGTGAACGCGCGCATGCAGGGCCTCAACTGGGGCCAGATCAAGGACACGTACTTTCCGGCCAAGACGGCCAACGCGTGCCGCAAGCGCCACGAGCGCCTCATGGAGCGCAAGGGCTCCGACGACTGGGACGGCCGCAAGCTGCAGCGCCTGGCCAAGGAGTACATGGGCATGCGCCGCGAGATCTGGAGCGGGCTGGCGGCGCGCACCGGCGAGAAGTGGAGCGTCGTTGAGCAAAAGGTGCGTTTTCATTGTCTCTTGATCGTTTCCTTCCGGGGTTCACGTTGTTGCCCATCATCCGTCGGCTTGATGGCTGCGTCCGGCTTCCCACAGGGCGTTGCGGTGCCTCTCACTTACACGGAGCGCGCCACACCCATCCGGCGCATGTCGCCTGCCACTCCCCCTTCCATTTCCATGCCCTTCTTCACCCCCTTTCCCTTTCGGTATACTCATACCACCACCACACACCAACGTCCATGCGCAACTTGTCTTCACATCCAGCTAACCGCATCAGTGCATGTCCAACGGCCTCAAGAACCTCCAGAGCGCCGCCCGCGCCGCCTCGCGCCGCGACCGCCTCGAGACGAGCGGCTCCGCGCACTCAGTCACAGGGTATGACGACGACAGCGGCATTTCCGGCATCGGCCTGACCCCTGTTGATGAACTAGACGCCCCCTACGGCAGCCCTGACGCGACGACGGGCAGCTCCTCGGCCTCGTCGTACGGCGGCCTGACCCCTTCGCACTACCTCCACCACCACGCCCAGCAGCAGCAGCAGCAGCAGCAGCAACACCATCAGCAACATCACCACAGTCAACACCCGAGCCAGCACCATAGACAGGCGCAGCACGCGCACCAGCAGTACCAGCAACATCTTCAACCGCACGGCGTGGCCGCTGCGTCGTACGCCAACGTGGCGGTCTCGACGTACGGTCCTGCGGCGGTCAGCTACGGGCATGGGTACTCCTCGAGCGTGTCCTCGACAGCGAGTCGCACGCGGTACGGCACCAGCGAGGGCAGCAGCCCGTACATGGACGCGGAGCGGCTCTCCGGCGCGGCCGACATGGGAATCGGGGCGGTCATGAACCGGTCTGCCGGCCGGGGGTAGCGTTGCGTCTCCTCCTTCTTCTCCAACCCTCTTTTCATCAACACAAGTCAAACACTACCTACCCGAGTACCCCTTACGTTCCTTTTCGTCATCAGATCTATCATGGGCGATCTATCCTCGTCAGTTTCACGACGGGCCATCATTCCTTTGTTGTCGTAGCGGCTGGGGGCATGGGACCACACAGGGGAGAGTCCCCGGCGTTGGCAGGAGTTTCAGAGTCAATGTTTTTCGATCCGTGCCGTGATGCGGACTCGCTATGGAATTTGAGGTCGGTAGCGATGGATGACCTGATGTCTCTAGTTCTTTTGTTCTTGTCTTTACCATCGAATGTCGAGTTTATGGAAAGAAATGGCCGCATGGGTAATGGTTTCGTGGGGAATTGATGTCAGGAGTCCAGCGCCGGTTGTGTTCATGTTTGTTTGTATGATACAGGATAGACGAGGCAGCATAGCGAGAGAATCGAGAGCAGGCACGAGACGAGACATGACTGACCGCAGGCGTTGCGTGCTCTAGATCCATGTTCTACATCGTACATGCTTCATGCAGCATTAAAAGTACATGCGACGGTGTGTCGCTACGAGATGAGCGGACTGGCCAACCTCCATCCCACCCGACGGTAGACCTCTGTATCGTCTGACGGCAGGCTACCGCTTCGCAGCCACCTTGGCCGCCGTCATGCTCGCCATCTCCTCGAGCTCCTCGTCCTCCCACACGCCGCCCTCCTCCTCGTCGCCACCAAAGGCGCCCCTCCACGCCCTGCTCCACATGCCCTTCTTGTGCAGCAGCGCGAGAATCATGACGGCCGGAAGATGCCACACGCTCGCCCAGAACAGGCCCCGCGCGCTGCCGTTGTGCCCCTCGAACCGCCAGAAGCGCACGGCCTCGCGCACCAGCCAGAGGTTGACGGGCATGCTCGTCGCGGCAAAGGACCACTCGGTGACGCCCGCGGCGCACAGGCCGAGGCAGATGGGAATGAAGGCGATGCTGTATCGCAGCGCGACGCGGGCGTTGCGCGCCGGATTCGTCCACGCCAGCATGCGCAGCCCCGCCGCCTTGTACTCTTCGCGGATGCCCCAGCTCAACGCCATAAAGTGCGGAAACTGCCAGGCGAAGAGCAAGCTGGCCAGGAGCCAGCCGCCAATCGACGAGCCGTCGCTGGCAAAGAGCAGCTCGCGCCACGAGCCGTCGTTGGTCGCCGCCTCGCCCGCCGCCGCGGCCCAGCCCATGAGCGGCGGAATGCCGCCCACGACGGCACCGACCCAGGTGTTGAAGGCGGTCACGGCCTTGAGCGGCGTGTATATGCCTGCGTACAGGACAATGTTGGAGAAGCCCAGGAACGAAACCGTGGGGTTGACGCCAAAGTACAGCGCGCCGACGCCGGTCGCGCCGGCGAGGATGGCAAAGAGGGCGGCGGCGCGGGTCGAGATGAGCCTCCTGACGAGCGGCCGGTTCCTTGTCCGCGACATCTTGGCGTCAGTCGACGGTTCATAGAGCATGTTGAGGGTGTTGGCGCTCGCGGAGCACAGCGCGGTGCCGGTGGTGAGGAAGAGCAGCGTCAGCGGGCTCAGGCTCGGCGTCTCGGTCATGGTCGGCGTGAGCATCTCGGGCACGGGGTACAGCGCGTACGGGGCCATGGCCGTGAGGACGACCAGGACCGTCAGGCGGGGTTTCGAGAGGGAGAGCAGCGTCGAGAAGATGCGGCGGGCTGAGCGGGCGGGCTGCGCCGCGGCGACGTTGGTGAGGGTTGACGAGGCATTGGCGGGCAGGGTGCCGTCCGGGGAGTCCCCGTTGGCAAGCGCCTGCTTCCGCGCCTGTCGGCGACGATGGGGAGGGAGTTGGGCGAGCGATTGGGGTGTTTGTGACATGGACGCGGAGGACGGGGCCGTCGAGGTCGTTCGCGGGCGGTGGTTCGCGACGAGGGAGTCGAGGCAGGCGGAGCGCTCAAAGACGCGGTTCGACAGGAAGAAGCCGGCGTTGGCTGACGGCGCCAACGCAGCGCCCCGAGGCGCCTTCCGGGCGGCAGTCGAGGAGAGCCATCGCGGCGAGGAAAGTCTCGGCGGAGCGAGGGAGGAGGAGCAGCAGAAGGAGCGAAACTCGGCGCGGGCTACGACTCGCAGTGGTGGTGATGGCCGCATCATCGCCGGCTGGGCTCAAGCATGGCGTCGCGGCACTCGTGCACACGCTGCGTCCGGTGTGATTAGCAAAGGGCGCGTGCGGGTGCGGCTCCGCGGCGATGACGGGTGTTGGTTATCGCGTGTTGTTACACACGGAAGTTTTGGTTGCGTCGGGAAGTCGGGCTTGCACGTGGGGCGTCATGTGACAGCTGCCTACCCTGCACCAGTCTTTCCACCCAGCGGCCAACATGAAATGCCATCCTGGGATTGCCCTTTTATGATCATGTGCAGTGCTCAAAAACTGAGTCCACATGGTATCTTATGGCCTTGAGTTGGGCTTGCGTGCATATTGCGAGCCGAGGAGGTTTGGCCTGCAGAGAATGTACACGGCAACACCAGAGCTATTGCGCGTACATTAGGAGGGGTTCACATGGACCACGCAGCGGGAAGCAGCACGTACAACCGCTAGGAATCTCGGACTTTTGCGGTAACGATGTGGATAAACGACAATCACATCCTGAAGCAAGGTCAGAATTACCGTCGTCGCCATGGAGGCGACTGTCCTGATGGGCAATTACATGTCAACTGCGTGGTACGCACAAGAAGCGAATCACCACGGCCGCAGATAATCATGCATGGCCCGTCGTGGAAGCGTCAAGTAATGCCCCATTCGTGTTGCGGGATCTATCAAGGAAGTGAGCGCCCTAGGAGGCCACCACTGCCGGGCCTGCTCTAACAACGTCCAATCGCTGAAGCAGCGACATCTGACGGCAGCCGCGGAATATGGTGGACAGCGTCAATTTTGTCATTGGGCGTCGGGTTCTTGCACATAAGCTTACATTTTATCGTCTCAAACACCCACAGCCGGACGTGAGATGACGGCCGTGGCACGGGAACAAGAAACTGGAAGAGGGGGTTTTACTCGCCGCGAGGAATATGCCTACCATGCGTAAGCCCTCTAATTTTACAACGTGCTTCAGACGGTAGGGAGGCTCACAGCCAGCCATCATCATGTAAGTCGGCCAGGCGGGTGCGGGTCATGGAAGGAAAAGGTACATGTCGCGGCCGTTCAAGAAGTCGCACAGACAGCGCTGTTAGTCGCAGAATACGTTCCACGTAGCCACTGCAGGTAAGGATTTCCCGGGTGGCGTCTGGTGAGAAACGCAAGTGGATGAATGTGTGAGTGACGCCGCAGTGCATCATGTCCGGGCGGGCACGCCTGGTTCAATCTGGATTCGCGTCCTGCCATGTCGTCCGTTGCACTCACAGTCACAGACTCACAACTCATGGGGCCCGCCTGCATGACTGGCGCGCGCATCTGGCGTCGGCACTTTGTGGCAACTAACAGCCATCGATCCAAGCCCGGTTAGCACGCCCTCTCCGGGCCAGCAGGATGCAAGCCATGGCGCTCCAGAAGGGAACGCTGCCGCTCCTCCAACCTCCAACGCGGGCACCCTAATAGCCTACAGCAACTGCCGCCGCGGGTTGTGGTTCATGTTGGACGGAACTGTGGCGCCCCCCCCGGCGCCCAACAATTGAGGGACAATGTGCCTGGCTGCGACTCCCCGCCACACGCCCTGGACCCTTGGCTTTTATCCCTTGCCCTGGCTGATTCCAAACGGATCCCGCGCGCGCTGCGTCAGGGCCGCTGTCAGACGCCGTAAGACATAGGACGGCGTTCCACACGAAGCCCTGGGCTGCTGCCCCATCCATCCTTCGGGCGCGGGTGATACCCGTGCCGCCGACTCACGGACCTTGCGGACGTCGCGGGCCAGACAATTTCTCTCTCTCCAACCTGCGAGCATCGAGCGCGTCTTCTTTTTGCAGCGCGTAGGGCGGACCCAGAGAATCAGAGACGTACAGACCGATAGACACCAACAACGTCCCTAGAGACTATACCGGCACGATGAGCATCAAAGCCTTGGTATGTCGCTGCCCGCCTGGACTGGACCGTGATCGATCTGCCGCTGACCAGAGCTGTGTTGATGTCTGGTGGTAGCCCGTCATCGCGTTGGCCGCGTTCGGCATGTTTGTCCACGACCGCAGCCGCATCTTCTCCTTCTTCTTGAACAACTCGCCGGAGAAGATGCCCACCATCAACACGTTCCGGAGCCACAGCGTCAAGTTTGCGGACCGGATCCGCAGCTGCGAGGACTTTTTGCTGATCGAGGACCGGGGCGTGGCCATTGCGGCGTGCGATCCCGGACGGGAGCGGTGGAACACGGTCATGGTAGGCTTCCAGTTGACAACCTGAAAGCATGAGGTGTGAGGTACGCCAGGGCATAATCGATGCTGATACACGTACACATCACGCAGGGCGTCAACGTGCCGGGCCCCGTGTCCAGCGCCGAGCTCTACATCTACGACTACAAGGACGCCTCGCTGCCCGACGCCGCGGCGCTCAAGCGCGTCTCGCTCGTCGACTTCCCCGGCAAGGACGACTTCCACACGCTGGGCTTCGCGTTTGACGAGGCGACGTCGACGCTGTACATGTCGAGCCACGCCAAGGCGGGCCCGCGCATCGAGGTATTCACGCTCGACATCGACGCCCTCACGGCGACGCACCGCGCGACGGTCCAGCACCCGCTGCTCAACGGGCCCAACGCCCTCGCGCTGCTCGGCCCCGACGAGCTGCTCGTGACCAACGACCACCGCTTCCCCGCGCGCGACTACAAGCTCCTCTCCAAGGCGGAGACGTTCCTCGGCCCGCCCACCGGCACCGTCGTGCACCTCAAGCTCACGCCCAACGGCCAGCACGCCGTCCACGACGCGCGGGTCCTCGCGCGCGTACCCTTCGCCAACGGCGTGGAGCTGCTCAACCACAGCACCGTCGCCGTCGCATCCACCAGCCGCGGGGCCGTCTACCTCTTCGACCTCGCCGAAGACGAGAAGAAGACGAAAAAGCACGGCGAGCAGCGCCTGCGCATGAAGTACAGGACGCAGATCCGCACGCCCTTCCTGCCAGACAACCTGTCGCGCGCGGCGGACGGGCGGCTGCTCATCGCGGGACACCCACACCCGCCGAGCCTGCAGCGCTTCACGCAGACGCGGCACGTGTGCAACGGCGGCGCGGCGGAGCTGAAGCGCGCAGACGAGGAGACGAGGCGGTACTGCGAGACGGGCACGGCGCCGTCGTGGGTCGCCGAGTGGAGCGACGAGGAGGGCCTGCGGAGCTTGTACGCGGGCGTGGAGTATCCGACGAGCGCGACGGCGGCGCGGGATGTGAAGCGGGGGGTGGGCATCGTGGGCGGGCTGTATGCCAAGGGGCTGCTGGTGTGGAGGGACTGATTGTTGGTGATGGCCTCATGGAGCATTCATTGCTGTGACGGACGGAGGGGAATGGACTTGACGGACGGGTGACAGTGACGCCGTGACAGACGAATGGATGGATCAAACGGATCATGCCAAAAAAGCAACCCTCAGAGTCGAATGGTGGTCTCGGCTGGAGATGGGCCGTCGTCCCCCGCGCGGTAGTGTACATGTACGGGGCACGATCCATGTGGCGCCAGCTCTCGGCGTTGGTGGCCCGAGTTGGGGTGACGGTGACCCTCGTACATCTGTGCTCTCTCCGCATCAACAGTTCAAAAGCAAAGTCACCAGACATTGGGTCGCTTATAGACTGGACGCTTGCCGTACTGAAATCAGGAAAACACAACCAACGATCCAGTCTGGCGTCGTCCTACCAGCAGACATCGAGTAATAAATCACTACATAGCACAGAGTGGAAAAGGCTGCCACACAATGCCATCTCTGCTTGAGCTTCTTCGGAGCGCCAGCCATGTCGACTGCGACACACTCGACAGTCAAGGTGCCTCGCCTTCCAGGACCCCTTGCCGACGCACCACCCACCGTAGCTAACTATCTCGTGATGCGCACGCCAAGTCGCCAAAGAGCTGGGCCCGTTTGTCGACTGCACCTCCAACCAGGTAAACACCAATCATCCTCCCTGTGATTACCGTTGGTCATGCATCGTGAGGCTTCAAACCCAGGCTGACTTGAATTTCAGGCAATCGCATACTTTGAGCTCTCGCAGCCCGTGTCCGGCGGCGAGCTGCTTCACCATGCGGCGCTGATCAAGGAGGCTGTTGCAGAAGCGGAGGGCAGGTTGAGGCACCTGCAAGACGGCCTCACGCTGGAGGAGTTTGCCGTCGAAGTGCTTGTAAGCAGCCCGTCTTGCCGTTGACAAGAGACGTATGATGCATGGTAGAGCTGACTGACATGCCGTCGATGTAGCTGGTCAAGCTGCAGCTGCTCATCGCGCCCAACGTGACGGGCTACGTCCACGTCCAGACAAATCCGAAGCTGTCGTTTTCCACCGCCGGCACCGTCAACAACGCGAAGCGCACGTTTCCCTCTCACCGTAGATGCCGGCTGCTACACATGGGTATGAAGCTGACTGATCCGCGTCCACGCAGGCATCGTGGCCATCTTCAAGGCCCTAAACCCAGACTTGAGCTCCAGCCGAATTTGCATCAAGATCCCCGCCACGTGGGAGGGCCTCCAGGCGTGCCGCGCCCTCGAGGCGGAAGGCATCGCCACCCTCGCGACGACCATGTTCTGCATGGAGCAGGCCGCCCTGGCCGCCGATGCGGGGTGCACGTACATAGCGCCCTACATTAACGAGCTCAAGGTGCATTTCGAAACGGGGTATGTTTGAACCATCTCCACGCTGCTCCGCGCCTCCACGCCACTCTCACCACATGTTCATGCACGTTCTGACGGTAATTGGCAGCTACGTCGACGAGAACAAGGCCTTTGACTTTTGCCGCGAGGCGCAAGCCTACTACGTCGCGCGCGCGCACCGCACGCGCGTGCTCGCCGCGTCGCTGACTTCCGTGGAGGAGGTGATGCGCCTCGCGGGCGTGCAGCACGTCACCGTCGCGCCGGGGCTGCTGCACGAGCTGGCGGCCAGGGAGGCGTCGTCCCAGGACGGCGAGCAGTTGGGGGCCTACTTTGCAGAAGGGCCGGCGAACAGGTCGTGGGAGAGCGCGGATTATGAGCGGCTGGTAAACGACGAGAGCGCGTGGAGGCTGGCGTTTGCGCGGAGCGGGTTCGGCGCGAGCGAGGGCAAGATTGTGCAGGCCATCAACTACTTTGCCGACTTTCAGGAGAAGCTGGAGGAGCTGGTCGGGCAGCACCGCTAAGAAGAGGACCGGGGTCATGAAGCAGCAGTAGTTGTGACGGTTGAATTCGAAATCGCTTGTGCCTGGTAGCCATAGTATCCCCCCATATTCCCGGCCTGTGAAATACACCCTCCCACATGAGGCCGCTACCAACATATATGTATATACACCCACCCCCGACTGTCATCGCCTACAGCTTCGCATCCGGCTTCTTCAGCTCGACAATCATCTTGCCCATGTTGACGCCCTTGTACAGGTCCACGAGCGCCTTCTCCGCGACCTCGAGCCCGCCGGGGACAATGTGCTCGGCCTTTTTGAGCTTGCCCTCGGCGAGCCAGCCGGCGAGCTCCTTGCGCGCGCGCGGGTAGTCTTTGGCGTGGTCGAAGACGATGAAGCCCTGCATCTGGATGCGCATGCTGACGACCTTGGCGAAGTTGCGCGGGCCCTCCGGCTTGGACGTGTTGTACTGGCTGATGAGGCCGCACTCGACGAAGCGGGCGTGCTCCTTGGCGCGGGCGAGGGCCATGTCGAGGATCTTGCCGCCGACTGGGCACACGTACAGGCGTCAGTACATCAATGATCGATGCGTCATACCACAGCTCGTGGTAGGTAAAGGGGGGTATAGACCAGGGCAGGCTCACCGTTGTCAAAGTACACGTCAATGTACGACTTGGTCTCCTCGCGGAACCGCTTCTCAAAGTCGGCCGCCTTGTAATTGAGCGCGACATCAAACCCCAGCTCCTCCTCGAGCCACCGGCACTTACTCTCCTCGCCGCAGATGCCCACCACGCGCGCGCCGTTGATCTTGGCAATCTGGCCCGCGACGCTGCCCGTCGCGCCCGCCGCGCCCGACACGACGACCAGCTCGCCGGGCTTTGGGGCCGCGATCTTGGCCATGCCGACCCACGCGGTGAGGCTCGTCATGCCCAGCGACGAGAGCATGTCGACGGGCGAGCGCAGGCCCGGGTAGTGCGACGCGGGCTCGAACTCGGACTCGCGCAGCACCGCGTACCGCGTCCAGCCGGCCAGCGCGGACACGAAGTCGCCCTCGCGCGCCTTGAGCGACCGCGACGCCAGCACGCGGCAGGCGGCGAGGCCGCGCATCTTTTCGCCAATCTTGACGGGCGGGAGGTACGACCGGGCGTCTAGATGCCATCGCCATCACCATCACAGTTAGCGCATCTGACTCTCCATATTCACATCAACTGACAGCGATACCAATAAATCCAAGAAAGAGTGCTGCAAGTTGCGCTCATCGAGCGAAGCGAGGACCCAAAAAAAAACATACCGCTGAGCCAGCCGCGCATCGCCGGGTCCAGCGACAGGTACAGCACCTCGACGAGGATCTGCCCATCCTTGAGGTCCGCGGCCGTCGGCGCCGGCGCCGTGACGTGCTTGAAGGTGCGCCCGGGGATGATGTCGTCGACGGGGCGCTCGGCCAGCACGACGGAGAGGTTCTCGCGGGCCATGGCGTGCGAGTTGAGTCAATGGGCTGTATTATGTAGTAAGTAGTGAGCGACCGAAAGCTTCGTTTGAAGGGAAGATGCGCGAGCTTGTTTAATGAAAATTAAAGTTGTCTGAGATCATGAGATGTTGGCAGCTCTGCCGAAACCCAAAAAGTCCGGCGCGGCGGCGCGCGGGGCGGAGATTCCAGTTCGGCGGGGCCGAGGGGAGGAGGGCCATGCCGAGGCTCGCCGGGCGCTACTGCCTACCGGGGCAACATGTCCGATGGGCGCCGCTTCGTCGTCTGCGCCGTGGCACTTCCACGGCGGTCGATTATTCCTGCGTGCGAAATTGTAACGCATGTCGTGTTACCCCGGATTGCAGGGCGATTGTTACCCACGGGGTAATAAGATGTGACGGCCCGCTTTGATCGGTGCCAATCCCTGGACCTTGAGGGTGCTCCGGCATTGGGGGCCGGAGTTTGGCTCTCCTTCCGGCGATCCGCTGCAGCACCCATGATGCATTGGAGGCTACGATGTACAGCTGCACAGAGACTCGTCCAGAGGTTGATGGCTGCGTCGTATCGGCATTCGGTTCGGGTAGAGGCCAGGAGTTGATCACTGCGCAGCCGAATCGCTGTTTGAAACGGGGGATAAAGGGCCTCAATGATCGGGATTCGGGATTCAGCTGCATTTCCTTGTTGATGGGCGACAAGTGCGCAAAATACAGGCCTGACAGCCCGTCAACATCACCTCACAAGGACAGCCTCAGGAGTACTCATCTCTACACATAATACGTCAATCAAATTCTAGACTCAATCGCACATACCTACGTATTAAAGAAGGGAACTCATTTTAAGCTCCCGAGCTTAGACATTTGCCGCCTTCGGCACTCGCCAAGCATTGGCGTTGAGACGTCAGCAGTCAGCACTTTGACACAACCGTGAATGGACCGTCGATTCGACCGGGCGAAGCAGAGCGCGGCATATGCCCCTTCTGGGTAGCGTGTGCGCAGCATCAATGAGGGGTGCTGATGGACATGGACTCGACAGCTCAGCAGGCTGTCATCAATCGTTCAAGATAAACCTGCCATCTCACATTGAAAGAACCCACGACGTTGGCGCTTTAGCGAGACGTGAACCGACATGACTCTCTTCAACACCATCCCCAATGACCTCGACGAGGTCGACGTCATCATCGCCGGCGGTCAGCCTCCCCTCATAACATTGAAATCTCATCGACAAACAATGATGACATGCTGACATCCGTCCAGGCGGCACCGCAGGCTGCGTCCTCGCGGCGCGCCTCAGCGACGCATCGCCCAACACGTCCATCCTCGTCGTCGAGGGCGGGCGCGACAACCGCGGCGACCCGTCCATCGTCCACCCCGCGCTGTTCCTCAGCGGCATCGCGCCCACGAGCAAGACGACGCTCTTCTACAAGGGCGCCGCGGAGCCCAGCCTCGCCGGCAGGGAAATGGTGGTTCCCTCGGGGGGCGTCCTCGGCGGCGGCTCATCCATCAATCTCCTGACGTACAGCCGCGCGCAAAAGTCCGACCTGGATGCCTGGGGCACGACCGGGTGGACCGCCGATGAGCTGGTTCCGTATATGAAGAGGGTGCGTTTGCAGTCGCCACCGACTCGGCGACTTACTCCTTGATGAGACTGAAGGCAATGAATGAATGAGACTGATGTAACGCCCGACAGTTCGAAACGTACCACGGTCCAGGCAAGGCCGCCACCCACGGCGACAGCGGCCCCTTGCACGTCACCGGCGGCACCTTCACCGCATCCCATTCCAAGGCAGACTTCATCCAGGCGGCCGACAAGCTCGGCTGGCCGCTCTCACGAGACCTACAGGCCGTCGATGGCAGCGCATGCTCACCGGGCGCCGTGCAAGCTAACCTGCGCTACATCGGCGAGGACGGCACGCGCCAGGACGCCGCGCACCGGTACCTGCACCCGCGACTCGACGACGGCGCGCACCCGCAGCTGCGCGTTCTCACAGAGCACCAGGTCGTGCGGGTGCTGTTTGACGGCGAGAAGCGGGCCGTGGGAATCGAGTGCCAGCGCGATTCACGGTTCTTGGACGGGGATGCCGTAGACGGGCCTGCTGCGTCTGCATCGCCTCGAATCATCATGGCGAGGAGGCTAGTCGTCGTCTCATGCGGCGCCCTCGGCTCGCCACTCGTCCTGGAGCGCTCTGGCGTGGGTGACCCAGCGGTCCTCAAGCGCGCGGGCGTGCCGCTGGTGGCGGACGTGCCGGGCGTAGGGCTTAACTACATGGACCATCACGTCCTTGCGTGTCCGTACCGGTCGAGTCTCGAGCCGGACGAGACTCTCGACGCGCTGTACGCGGGGCGCATCGACATGGGCGCGCTCGTGGCGAGGAGGGATCCGCTGCTGGGCTGGAATGCGGCGGATGTGACGTCCAAGCTTCGGCCGTCTGAAGACGACGTTGATGCGATGGGTGAGGAGTTTCGAGATGTATGGGATCGAGATTTCAAGGAGCGGCCGGATCGACCACTGGCCATTATTACGTCGCTCAACTGGTAAGGGCATCTCATGAGGTTATTATATCTCCACGTCCCGCGAAAGATGCTAAACCATGTACTCAGCTTCCCGGGCGATCCCAGCACGCTCCCCGTCGCGCAGTTCATGTCCGCCTCGAGCTTCACCACCTACCCCTACTCACGGGGACACATCCACATCACCGGCCCGCGTGCCACCGACCCCCCCGACTTTCGCACCGGTTTCTTCACGGACCCGCACGGCGTCGACGTCAAGAGCTCCATGTGGGCGTACAAGAAGCAGCGAGAGATCCTCCGGCGCATGGCCGTCTACCGCGGAGAGTGGGCGCCGGGCCATCCGCCTTTTGCCTCCGACTCTCCCGCCGCGTGCGTGGAGCGGGAGGGGCCCATCGCGGGTGAAGTAAAGAATATTGCGTATACGGCTGAGGATGACGCCGTGCTGGAGAAGTGGCTGAGGGAGAATGTGCAGACGACGTGGCACTCGATGGGGACGTGCAAGATGGCGCCGCGCGAGGAGAGGGGTGTCGTGGACCCGACGCTGAGTGTCTACGGGGTGCAAAGACTCAAAGTCGTGGATTTGAGCATCCCGCCGAGTAACATCGCGGCGAACACGGGGAGCGCAGCTTTTATGGTTGGAGAGAAGGCGGCGGACTTGATCATCGCCGAGCTGGGCCTTTGACCAGGACCCCTGTGTGACAAGGAAACATCATAACCAGAAAACGTACAAGTGCGGCAAAATGTCTATATTCTGCACAAGATTCTGCGATTGCTCTATCATAGCACCACTACAGCTCGCTCGGCGTCTTTGCGTTGGCAAGGTCAAACGCCTTCCGCACCCTCTTGGTGCACTTCCCCTTCCCCGACACCGCCCTCAGCCCCTGAACCTCGTCGAAGCGGGCGTTGATCCACGGCACCCACTCGGACAGCGAGGCCGCCACGACAGGCGTGTGCTCCATCCCGGGGTACTCGCTATAATGCACCTCGTTGCCGGCCTTGCACGCCCGCTCCACGGCCTCCCTGGTCGTCGGCGGCAGCACAGTACTGTCGTTGGCACCCTGGATGACGAGGATCGGCGACGACGACCCGGCGCCCAGCGCGGGGGCCGTCCTGGCCTGCCACTCCAGATACACGGGCCAGTCTCTGTCCAGCCGCTCGCGCGACAGAATCTGCTCCTTGCCCAGATCCACCGACAAGCCCAGCGAGCCGCCGACGCACATCTGCGCCTCCTCGGCAAGCTTCATGCGGCTGTCCATCTGGTCCGTCAGGATAGTGCCGTTATACCCAGGCGTGACGCGGCGCACCATCTCGGGAATCAGCGGCACAAACGCCGGCTCGGGCACGCTGTCGTACCCGCCGAGCATCATGTCGACGACGTACGTCGCCGGCGCGATGGCCACCGTCCCGACGTACCCGCTGTCCTGGCCCTGCACGAAGTCGCTCTCCGCGAGCTTCCACACCGTGCCGCCGCCCTGCGAGTGCCCGACGCTGAACCATTCTTTCGACAGCACGCCGGGGAAGGCCTTGCGCGCGGCGATGGTCGAGTAGTACACGTCTGTGGCCTGCGCGTTGAAGCTGAGGAACTTGTGTGTTGTGTGGTTGTTGCCGATGCCGGCGTAGTCGGTGCCTACGACGGCGTAGCCCTGGTCGATGAGGGCCTGCCAGGCGGACGGGTCGTAGAGTGTTGGGCCGTTGGACGGCGCGCAGCCGTGGTAGATGCCGCTCGTGCCGTGCGCCCAGGCGGCAAACCGGTAGCGACCCGTCGTGCTGTTTGTATTTCCATTGCCAGTGCCATTACCAGCGCCATTTCTAGCAGCGTCCTGCCCCGGCGCCGAGTAAGGAAACGCAACGTATCCAGTGGCGGGCACCAACTCGCCGTCATAATCCACAGACGTGTACTGGATCCTATACACGGTCGTCCCCGGCTTCACATCGAGTCTGGTCGCGTTGACGGGCTCCAGCTTGAGCAGGTCGCCGGCCCTGGACCCGGAAAAGTTGGCCGCCGTCTCGTAGAAGCCAAAGTCGAACTCGGTCCGGAAGTGCGCGAGGTCGCCGGCCTGCATCTTCTTGTACGTCGCCTGGCACGCGGCGCCGCAGGCGTGCGTGCTGGCCTCGTCGGCGGTGATGTTGAAGTCGCATGCCTGCTTGGCTGATGCCAGGGAGGCGAGGCCCGCCGCCAAGAGGAGGGATTTGAACATGTTGATTGAGGTGTGTGTGTATATACAGATGGATGGCTTCCAGCTTTTGGGTCTGATCTTGACTCTTTATGCTTGCTTTGCATTGCATGACCTCGGCATATCTTGCCATTGATGACGCTGCGTGTACTTTGTAAGGTGGTACAGTTCGTTTCGCTGCGAGGCGAGGGCCCGTCATCGCTCGGCTTCTCCCGGTAGTAGAGTTGAGCCCGTGCGGGCAACTGCCGGGCCGTCGATCGATGCGATCGCACGCATCTTGGCTGAGCAACTACCCTGACGTCTGGTCTGGTGCAGCCGGCAGTGCACTCTTAGCGCCAGGCTCAAGCTCGCGCGTCGAGTTCCCTAACCCTCCGGTGCGGCTCGGCCAATTCCCCGCCACACAATACGTTGAGAGAAATTGATGATGCTTCCCAAGGCGGCAGATGCGGAGCTTCGAGAACAGCTGCCGCCCCGGCGCCGACCCCAATGCATGACGACATTGGGCATTGGCAATGCCCTTTTCCAGACCCAAGGCGCTTCTCCACGCGGCAGTGCCAACGGTGCACACCAAACGGCGAGGCCCCAACTTGCCCAATACGCTCCACGGAGATGGGCTGGCCGGATCCAACGTGTAGTAGTATGGCTGCAGCGGAGCCCGCGGTCGGCGGCCGTGACGGGGCCCACAACTGGGAAGACAGCGGAGTGGGCGCAGCCCCGGCCGGGGACTGGGTCGATCATCCCCGAGGGGCCGAGAGTCCGAGAGGACGGGCTTGAAAGCGCCAATGCGTCTTCGCGATCGGTCGGAGGCGTTGCTCATCGCGTGAATCTCAGGGCTATTTAGCGTATGAGCATGGTGATCTCGTCAGGATTTATTTACTGCACAGGATTGCACGGGATTCTCACGCGAACATGACAGCGGCAGTGCACGCCATCGCCTCTAGTATCCTTACGCTGGAGCAAGCGCGTGGTGGTGCTGCAGCTCCAGACGCCGAGGTGCATACTGCGTTATAATACGCGACAAGAAAAACTGCCATCCCGGAACACAATTGAGGTGCAGCAGGCGCCATCTTTAAAAGCGCGAAACTAGCGGTAAGGAGCTTCTTTGCAGCGCCGCGCCTACTGGACACGCCCGCGTTGCTTCATCGTGCTGTCTTGCATTACTTGCGGTGTAAAGGCGTGTTCGGTGTGTTGACTGTTCTGGATTGAGATCAATTGATGACAGTTCAAGAGCCGCTGCGCTAGGCTAATGTTTTATATCGAGAGCAACTTCAGTCAGCAAAACTTCTTGTTGTCGACGATGTTTGGTGGGGCCAAAGGGCGCCCTGGTTGTCATTCGTCACTTCATCCGCAACATCAACGTTCAACGTGGGCAAGCATCACCAGCGCGACTGCCCAGGAAAATATATAAGAACAGCCCTTTTGTGCTTGATATCGATGCCACAAGCTTCACGAGTTCCAACCTTCATCGTCTGTATTTCACAATGGCCGATACTGTTAGTGTAAATGCCCCCAATGCGCACGTCGGAACTAACACGCCCGTGTAGCCTACCACCACGCAACTCCCCGCCACGCTCCGGGTGCGGGCCCTCCCCTCGCCTCTAGAGCTGTCCAAGTACTCGTCGCCGTCGACCAAGGCCGTCACCGTCGATGAGGAGAACTCGTTCCCCTGCCGTCGCTGCCTGAAAGACGGCGCCGTGGGGGACGAGATGCTCCTCACGCCGTACGACCCCTTCCTGGGCGACAGCCCATACCGCCAGCCCGGCCCCATCTTTGTGCACCTCAACCCAACGTGCGGGGCCTATAAGCCGGATGGGGCGCTTCCGGAGCAGCTGCGTCGGCGGCTCCTGTCGGTGCGGTCGTTTGGCAAGGATCATTGCATGGTGGATGCGGATGTGGTGCAGGGGGACCAGCTGGTTGGTTTGGCGGAGAGGATGTTGCGCGATGGGGCGGCAGAGTACATTCATGTTCACAATGCGAGGCCCGGTTGTTTCGCGGCTCGTATTGAGCGCTCGGGGGCATAGAAGCAACCGTCAGGGAGCAATGCTACGTCTGGTGCATCAGTCACCATCGAAATACATGTATATAGCCCTCTCCCATGATGAGCCCTCGATGATAACAGTACGGGATAAACCTCGATCGAGCTGTTCAAAAGCCACCAATAGAGTTGAATGAATCTCGCTCGACTTGGGCAAAGGGTCTGACTTGATGTTCCGACGGCCATCAATGATGCATTGCCTGTGCTGTCTGTGGCGTGGCTTCTATATGAAGGTTCAATGTTGCAAAGACCCATTGGATGCGGCCATGGGCCCGTGTTGTGACACTCGGTAGCAAGAGAAGCTCTTGAGTTTTGTTTGTCATTCGACTGAATAATTGATCTCCTTGACCATCCCAGGATGAGAAGCTTTCTTCTGCCCATCTTCGCCTTACGATCCTCCTCGTCCAGCTTGCCACTTTCATTCCTCTCGGCTCTTCTTGTTTCGAGCTTGCCAGACACGGGCAAGCAGTGCGAGACGTGAATGTATGTCAACGATAGCCCAAGCCGCCACCGAGCACTGCAAGTTTGACGTCTTAGCCCATCTCTCCTCCACCAATGAACATGCCTCCATCATCCCCCTTAAGCGGATTAATTATCGTGGAGCAATCGTCGGCTCGTCGGGCACGCGACACTCCACCGTCGTCATCAGCGCACTTGACAGCAGAAGCAGCAGTCTGGTCCGTGACGTGCCCGGCGATACAAGTTTCCACGCGGCTGTTAGCGCCAAGCTCGGATCTTCTTTCACCCCGTCTGACTCCCGGGAGCCGGGCCGCCCTGGGGACGCGATACGCGACCCCCAAAATGCGACCGCAGAGGGGCCGAAGCTGATGGGATCGTGTGTGCGGGGTGCATGCTTAGCCGGCGGGTATACGCAGATTGTTATGCTTCAGGATAACCTAGTTCCTGATTGGGACACGGTCAACCTCCTGACTGGACTTGACGGGTGCAGCAGCACACGGGCATGTCATCTCCGATACTCCGCCGATGCATCGAGTGAGTGGCGGAATGGACAAGAAGACAGAGAGTGAATGAGAAGTGGTTGAGATTGATGGCGCGGGATCAAAATGTATATAACGTCGGTCGACCTCGTCCTGGCTCAGTGTTTGTTCCGGACGTGCAGAATTACAATTCGCTCTCTATACTACATTGTTTAAGAACACAGCCACTCATCATGCGCTTCATCGCCGTCGTCGCCGTTCTCTTTGCCGGCCTCGCTGCCGCGCAGCCCGTCGAGGACGGAGACTCACTGGTATGGACCATCAACACGCTTCACTCGAGGTATACTGTACTGACGAAACTTGTTCTTAGGTTGCCCGAGCTTGCAAGCACGGTACGACCACTCCATGCTCGAATCGCCTGCCCTTGTGATCACGTCTAAGATGAACCTTGATTGAAACTGACGTTGCGATTGCAGAGGCCTGTGCCAACGCATGCTGTGTGTCGCACGGTGGATGCAACTCTTTGAACTGCGGCACCTCCTACGTGAGTTTGTCCCTGCATTTGATCATGCGCGCAGTACACGTATTGATACTGACGGAACTGCAGTGCTCGGGCGGAAAGTGCCACTGCGACTGCCACTACGGCTAAACCACAGGAGAGAGATTGCGCAGCGAGGAACGGTTCGTCGATGGGCTTTGGATAGAATGACTACTGGTGGTGTGTCAGATATCAGACTATCCGTCAGCAATGAAACTACCCCTGCGCCCTCAATTCGTGTTTCCTGTGGCTCGCGTCCTGGTCTATCGAGGTGTTGGCGTCCATGTCTTCTCGCGAGCATGGCCCCGCGTGGAGAACCCTGTGCGCGGGCGGCTTCCCATCGCTAAAGGGTATTTGGAGCGCAACCGAAGGCTTGTCCATCGGGTACTCGGTGATGTGGCCTTCTCCAGTGACGTCGTTTGCGACAATCAGTCCGTCGACACCGCCCGTTACCCATAGCTCATCCTTGCCCCGAGGAAGCGTGATATGCGCCTGGCCAGAAAGTAGAGCGAAGAACCTGAGCAGGTCAGCCTATACGTAAGCATTGCGTGGAATGTTGCAGCGGGACATACATGGGGTGCGGCGGTTTGTGGATGCCCTCATTAGAACGAGCGGGGAGGACGACGTAGGAGACGTTGGATACCTGCGCAAGCCCGGAGATGGCCTGGCCGGTCGTAGGGTACTGTTGAAAGGGCGTGGCCATCTCCCAGCACTCAAAGGCAGCGGCACCGTCGGCGCGAGAGACGACGGCGTTTAGGCGTAGGTGCTCATGCTGAGCGGAGCCGAGGGTCGCAGTGGCCCATACACACGGGACCAAGAGTCCAAGCTTCATATCTTCGCCTCGAATATCTTGAATCGACTCATATGGGATTTATGGCGCGACGATGGGAGAGGTGGTTTAAGAAGAGGTCGATTGGCTCAGTGGCTGGTCGTCGACGGAACGGGCATGACGTCTGATGCCCCGCGCAGCGATCTCGGAGATGTCCTTTACGCCCTACTAATCTGGTTAAACGCTGGTCGAACTGGGAACAAACAGAACCTCTCCCGCAATCCAGCTGCGCACACTTGCGAGAGCTGTAGCGATCGCGGCGAAGCATTGGAAGCAAAACAAGACTGCTGAACGTGTCACTGGTGCATCATGGCAATTTGATCACATTCTTGTGGTCTGGTAGTATGGTGGAGCTCGTCAATGCAGACAGACCGCAAGTATGAATAGCTGGAGCGATTGAGTTCGATCATTGGGGTAGGAAATCGAGACCCAACTTGGCCGTGCTGGATGTGTGAGCAATGGTGCAAGCGAAGCGTCTCAGAAGTGGTGCGATTGAGAATGATACAGCAAGGCCCTTGAGCATGTGTTTCTTACGCTGTTTCTGTTGGAGCTGCCATCAATTCGCCGTGCGTCTAGTGCGGTCCACGTCTTCAACGTTATTGCAGCTGGGCGTGGCAGTACGATTGAAGCTGCTACACGATCAATTGTTCCCAGTGTCCTACCTCAAATGCTTCCATACTTCAGCACCTGCCTCTTAACTCGTCTCAGAACTACAATTTTGTTCGCATGTTTCGGCAAGTGCTGTTGCGCAGTCTCTCTGGAAGACTCCGTTTGTGTGTGTCGTTGCCTACCTGTACTGGCACGGAGCCAGGCCTGCATCGGACGAAACAGTTGCGGGCCATAGACGAAGCCTACCCATCCGCAAGAATGGGCCAGAAACTCACAGAAACTGGGCTCTGCAGTGACGAATGGTAGCGAACGAGCCAAAGGTATGGCAGTGTATCGGTACTGAAATCAGGTTCACATCCAAACAATCGGACCACAACATGTTCTGGCCGTGCGCACCAGCTCCAGTCTCGAGTGTCGAGTCTCTCAACCAATCAGGTGTTATGGGCCACGGCACCTCGTTGCCATTGATGATATCCTTCACATCAAAGGCATCTACAACGGATGCGCTGGTTGATTTGCTCTCCTGGCATAAGTGCACCATTGTTGCGCGCTCTTTGTTTGCCCAAGTCAGGCCCAGAAGAATTCGCTGCCTGAACAGACATGTGTGCAGTGAACTCGTCAGTGAATCGACGTGCCCGTTTGCTCTCCTTGCTTCCCTGTCCTTCCATGGAACCGAACAATAGCCCGGCTGTTCAGTGATTAAGTCTGCACTGAACAGGCGCAGTCCGGCAGGCCAGCCACGCAGCTGGCCGGCTCTGTTCACCCACCACCCACCAGCCATGACCTCGCGGCCCGTTTGCTCTGAACGCGCACTTCCCTTTCTCCCACCTCTTCACTCTTCATGCTCGCGCTGTCATCGCTCCCAGACCACGAACCTTCACTGTGCACTGCTTCTTGCATCTTGCGTCTTTGAGCAAACTCCCATCGCGTGCAGCGTATGCCCCTTTCTTCACTGTACTCTATTCGAACACTGTCACATTCACCGTTCCCTTTGGTCTCGCAGAGCTCGCGCTCGTAGCACCATCTCAATCAGTTTCACTCGAAGCCAGTACCTCGACCAAACCTTTCCGACTCCCCTCAGACGGAGGCGTTGTTTGGAGAAGGCGTCAGTCCCTTCATCACGAGAACATCCACCCCCTACCGTTTCCACTCGCAGACTGCCTCGCGGTGTCTGCTCAGAGAAGGAAAAGATGCCAATCTCGTGGCCCCTTCGCGCGAACCGCCGGTCCCAGAACCGTGGCGAGCCGATGGACATTGACGACGAGGACACGCCCATGACGGGTGTTCATCAGACAACCAGAAGAAATGCACCACAAGGTATTCCCATTTCCCCCTTGCGAAGTGAAACTCAGCTAACATCCCCAAGGCGTAGGCACCGCGAGCTTGGCACCAGGCCTCGGAGCGCGTCTCCGCGGCGGCGCCCGTGACAGCTCCCCAGACAGCCTCTTCGACAGCGACGGCGAAACAGAAGCAGCGCTCAACCGGCTCAGTTCCACCAAATCGCCATCCCCGGCAAAAGACATTTGGACTACGCTGTACGGCTTCCAGGGCTCTGTCCCCTTTCTCGTCGGCGACGCAGCCTCCTATCTCGCCGCAGTGCGACAGCTTCTCTCCATACCCGCAGCCATGAACACGCCGTACACACTTGTGCATTATCAGTCCCTCGAGCGCAGCCTCACGGAGATCAAGGACGATCTGGCGACTGGCAGCAGCGGCGCGGCCGTCCGTCACATCCAGGAGCACTTTGCCTCTGCAAACAACAACAATACCAACAACTCCCCAAACAATAGCCCGAACAAGAGCACCGGACATTCTGCGACGTGCTGCGTGCTCTTCGTCCGTCTGCAGACAGAGACAGGACCAGCACCGGGCCAATTCAAGCCTTCGAACGCACAGCTCGGCATCGACGTCGGCGCCATCAAATATCTACCCCCAGGAAGACAGTACCCCTCGACTGCGTACTTTCCCTATCCCAAGAATGTTGGTCGACACGAAGACAGCGAAGACGGCGAGGCACTCTTCCCGGTGAGAGAATGGAACGCCAGACAGTACCTCGAGCACTTTCGCACTGCGGTGGACGTTTTGCTCGGAAGGCCGGGACGTCGAAACGGCTTCCACCACGCAGTTCTGAGGCTTCATAAGGAGACGGATCCTGAAGGATGCAGCTATGCAGCTCCGACGCATGGCATCTTGACTCTGCGCCCGTCCGATCTACAGGACATTCAACCCTATTACCTCGCGAAAGAAGGCCTTCCAGGAGTCGGCATGCAGCACCACGCCCTCGACGCCTCGCAGATTCACCTCACTCTCCCTGGCTTCTACCCCGACTTATTCTCCGAACACGCGAGCATCGTCGCCGCCAACACCCTCCGTCCCGTATCCGGCCGGCTCGGCATGCCCTCCGGCATCGCCCACATCCAGAACCTCGTGCGCACACTCCTCGCCCGCGAAGCCGACGGCGTCACACACATCCTCCTGCTCTCCGGCCGCGGCACGCTCGGCTCTGTCGTCGACAGGATTCAGCCGACGGCACTCATCCCCCTGAGCAAGTCCGTCCGCACTCTCGACGCCTTTGCGGCTCATGACCTCTGCCAACTCCTCGACAGCCACCCGCGCTCACTCCTTCTCTACCCACAATACATGGACGACAACCACGGCGACTCGGACGTCATTGACACGAGAATGCACGCCGCCTGGGACACGGACGCAGACATGGACCACAAATGCACGTACCTACCCTCACTCGACTCCAGCGTCGACATCTTCCGCGGACAAGTCGCCAGACTGGTCTCGCAAGCACGTGGTGCAGGCCGCGACGCAGACCGCGTCAACCTCTTCGACGCAACGACACACGAAATCACCATCCGCGCGGTTCTGCTCCGCGACATAACCACCCCTGACATTGAGTTCTCGACGTTTGTCATTGGCCCCGACAGCACCGACGACGAGTGGTTTGCCATACGCGCGCAGATTCCTACACGCAACGCGGAGATTAACGTCTGGCTTGCGGGCACCTGGGACTGGGATCGCGGTCTGGCGAAGAGCAACGTCTGGGGACCACGATATGGCAAGATTCAGAGATTTCCACCAAAGATTATTGCGGACAGCAGCGACAGCGACAGCGACAGTAAGACTGGAAGCGGCAGTGATTCCGACGGTGCCTTGGAGTCTGCGGCAAATATCATTGGGAAACTCATCGGCTCCCTGCCCAAATCCATCTCTCCGAGCACTGATAAGGCGGCATCCTCGCCGAATACTCTCAAGCCAACCTCATCTCCAACAGCCCATCAGATGTCATCCACGCTGAATACTCACAAGACGGCTCCGACCGCTTTCAAGCCAGCATCAACGCAGAACGTTTTCAAGCCGACCTCATCTCCAACCGCGCATCAGACGGCAACACCGCTGAATCCTTACAAGACGATTTCCCCTTCAACCGCTTTAAAGCCAACATCACCACTGAATCCCCAGAAGACGGCATCACCGCTGAATACTCACACGACGGCTTCGCCACCAACCGCTCCTCAGCCAGCACCACCACTGAATCCTCAGAAGACGGCGTCGCCACTAAATTCACGTAAGACGGTACTTCCGCCGAGCATCCGCAAGACGACAGCTCCTCTGATCGCCCGGAAGCCGGCACTACTTCGAAAACGTCCCACAACAGCATCTCCCTTCATCGCTCGCAAGCCAGCCATACTTCGAGAGACTCCCAAGACGGCACCTCCTCCCAGCGTTCTCAAGACGGCCTCGACCGCAAACACTTCCGAGACGGCACCGCAGAAGACGACACCTCCCCCGACGACTGCAGACTGCCCGTTCCCACGCTGCGGCTTCATATATAACCCCGCGCATGGCGCTAACCTCGCGACCCATGTCCTCGAAGCGCACGCAAGCCGCAAGTGCATGTGGTGCGACGAGCCGATCCCGGAGTCGTGGACCGACGCGCAGAGGGACGCGCACGCACGCACGCACCGCGACCGTCTGCTCGCCGCCCTCGGGGTTCAGAGCGCAAGCCTGACCCAGGGCGGCAGCAGCAGCAGCAACGACAAGGCCGTGGCCGTAAAGGTGCCCCTGAAACAGGCACCGAGAGCCTCCTCCTCCTCCTCCGCCACCACCACCACCACCACCACCGCCGCGCCGATCGACCTCCGCGGCGCCGAAGAAGAAGACCAGGCCGCTGGCCGCGACACGGTGGCATCACGCCCCGTGTTCGCGAACCAGCGGTTCTGCGACCGCTGCGGGCGCGACCGCTCGCGCTTCCTCACGGAAGCAGAGCGGACGTACCACGACCGGCACTGCGTCCCGGGGGTGTACCACGGGGCAAGGTGCCGGTTCTGCCGCCGTTGCGGCGACTACCGCTGGGCGTCGGGGGAGGACCGGCGCCTCAGTGGGAGGGCCGGTCGGGGAGTGTCCGGGGGGTCGTGCGGGCACGACGACGAGGGCGCGGCGCGTTTCTGCGCGCGCTGCGGCCTCGACGTCGGGGCCATGGAGGACGACGAGGACGACGAGGACGATGATGGCGGCGCCGGGAGGAGGGCCGCCGCCCACGACGAGGCGTGCCGCGGGTTCGGCGCGCAGCCCGGGCGGTTCTGTCCGCACTGCGGCGTGGCCTTTTGGGAAGGCCACGCCCAGGCGGACTGGCTGCACAACACCAGGCACATCGAGGCCTGCCGGGCTGCCGCCGCCGCGGCCGCCATCACCACCACCATCACCACCGCCACCACCACCACTGCCGCCGCCGCCGCCGCCACCTCCGCCTCCGCCGCCGCGGCCCTTCGGGGCAAGAAACGCCGGCCCCTCCAGCAGGGGGACACCGCCGCCGCCGCCGACGACGACGACAACGACGACGGCCAAGGCCGAGGCCGAGGCCGAAAGCGCCGCCGCCTGTCCCGCGACGACGACCTGCGCGCGGCCCAGGCGAGCGACCACGAGGGCGAAGAGGAGTCATCCTCCGAGCCCGAGTGGGAGCTCGCCATGGGCCCGCGCAGGTCGCGGGACACGGTGGCGGCGCCGACGCCGAAGCCGGAGGAGAAGGAGGAGGAGGAGGAGAAGCAGCAGCAGCAGCCGAAGCCGCGCGCCCGCCGCAGCCGGGCCCCGTCCGGGGTCAAAACCCGGACGCAGCCGCCGCGCGCCGCCGCCGCACGAAGCCGCGCCGCGTCAATGGCGCCGGCTGGCCGGCCGACGAGGACGAGGAAGAGGTGAGTGGTGGAGGGGGGGAGGAGGG